AAATAGTTGTTTTTAAAGAAAATAAATAAATAAATAAATATTTCGGTGCAGGCCAATCGTAGCGCCGAACGCTGTCACCGAGACCATCGAGTAGAAGTGTAATTATCTCGCACTTGGCCCACAGTCAGAGCAAATAATTTAATTGAAATGACTGCACGGATGGCGTAGTGGTTTAAGCGGTCGCCACGCCGCTTTCTATTGCGCCGAGTGTTGTGGGTTCAAACCCCACATGGGATAACACTTTGTGTGATCCACAAATTGTTGTTCTGAGTCTGGGTGTACTTTGTGTCCGTTTCATGTATGTTTGTAAAGTCCCCCGCGACACAGGATTTATTAATAGTGCGGGAGTTGTCTTTTTAAAAAAAAAAAAAGAAAAACCATTGGTTTAAGCTCTGCGTTGATGATTCAGTCAGTGAGTCAGTGCAAGTTTTTTGTGTATAGATAAGAACACAACGTATTTAAGTGTCGTACTTAGTGTTTACTAGACCATTGTGTCGAATCAGAGCAAGAACTCATTAGGTACAATGGTTTCATAGTTTTAGGAGACGTTCACAGACTATGATCATGTATGTTGCTGTTATTTAATAGGTGGGGGGAAGATAGGTCACTTGTGATTCACATCACATCATCATCACAACAACAGCCTTTAATAGTACACTGCTGGACATAGGCCTCTCCTTAGAAAGGAGGTTTTGGCCCAGACGGGTTGGTATAGGGTTTGTGTCAAGTTTTCCTTCTCTTTGTAGTGTTGTTGCCCTGCGTAGTTTGCTCCCTTAGTCGGCTCTTACAACTCCCACGGGATGAATTGGGGTGGTGACACTCAGTATTGTTAATCCGTCACCACACGGACTTGTGATTACCTGGAAGAAAGTAAGTAACTAGGAGTTACTTACTTTTTATAGGTTTTTTGGTTAAGAAAGACGAAAAGCTCGTGGTTTAATTCCCACCCAGGAGAAAAAGTTTTTTGTTTTTTTTTGTTGAAGAGGGAGCAAACGAGCAGATGGGTCACCTGATGGAAAGCGACTATTGCCGCCCATGAACGTCCGCAACTCAGGAGTCACAGAAGGAAGGAGTAGGAGTAGGAGCTCTTTTCTTGATAAGCACTATCGTTATGTTCTGTGTCTGGGTTTAATTTATCTATGACATGTATGTATTTTTTAACATGTTTATTAAACATACTTATGTTTAACATCAGTTTGGTTACTATAGTACAGATTCTGCCTAGTTTGGGATGAGATGGCTGTGTGTAAGATCAATGCCAAATTATATTTTTTCACGACACAGGATATATTCCTAAAATTTCATTTGAATCTAATGGGCAGTTGCAGAGATTAGAGCATTTGAACAAATTAATTTTATGAAACTATTATAGATTTCGGATCATATCAGTAAAGCTAAAACCACTCAACTTTTACTTAAAATGTCATACTTAATTATAATGAAAACATCGTACATATGCCGAAACGAATGCAAGAACTGTTGAGGTCACACACCATCTGGCGCGCGTCGGCCTTGCGCGTGCGCATATCGCTCGATCAATGAAAAGTATCTACTTGTTCCGGGTTTTATATCACTTAGCGAGGAACGACCGATTAGATTCGGACCTACAGAGGTCATTTTTCAAGAGATCAAGCAGGGGTACAGGGCCTGTTTATTGGTGACGGGGTGGAAAATCCCTTCAGATCTTTAGTTCTTTGGGGACGCAAGAGCCAGGAGTATGTGGTATTTTCACTGCCCCCACGGTCTCAGACGCCCTTCTATAGGACCGAGCCATGTGATTTCAGGTCCCCCCGGATCGACGCCGCAACTAACTAGAGCGTATAAACTACACAGTTAAAGTTATGTATATAAATATATATTTATTAATTTTATACATCATGCACTTTTGGTGCTTTGGCGGACTTAATGCCTAAGGCATTCTCTACCAGTCAACCTCTGGGTGATGCAGAGAGAACAGGAACTAGGTGCATTTTGGTTAGAGTTTGTATTATGCCCTACCACTACCTATCTTTAACTATGCTGTCATGTTATATTCTGTGTCAGTAATTAGGCTCTTTGTAGGTGAACCCTACCCAAAAATTCCAAGCAATTATATCAAGATACGAAATACTTTTTTCATAAAATATCATACTAAAAAGGTTTGCGCGTAACACATAACTAAATATGGCGACATTTGGCGCCGACGATAAAAAAGTATATCTTTATAGTTACTGTGCCGCTCCTAGGAGCATAGCGTTATGTTGAACAACCAGAACCCTCCTCAGGCTCTTCCAGCTGTCAAATTCAGAAACAATTGTTCATACCCGATTAATAGAAAACTATAAATATAGCTAATTTTTTCCTGCCTTAGTGTCGTAGAGTGTGGCTCTTAGCCTTTTGCGTTCAACATCATCTTCCTCCCTATTTAACCCCCTACGGAAAGCGATGGTTGTTATAAGTTTAACCTGTTTATCTGTGTCTGTCTGTGACATCATAACTCCGGAACGGATGGACCAATTTCGATGCGGATTTTTTTGTTCGAAACCCGATGTAATCGTGATGGTTCTTACCTATTAATTTTGAAGATCTTCAGCTCACTTCCAAGGGGATGAAAAGATATCGCTAAAATCCAAAGGTCCGATTGATCTGACATTTGATATACTGTTTCTTTGATGGTATTTCCAGGACATAGTAATCTGGAACTTGCTGCTGCATCAAGTAGTCTGCGGGATAGCCAACTCCTCAGAAAATTACAACATATATACCATGTTTGGGCTGTATACTGTTTATTTTTTTGTGTCAGGGGTTTTTTAATATTGTGTTATTATCAATTTTTTTCGGGGTCGGCACAATATTACTATTTTTTTTATTAAGAATTAGACATAATTTGTAGTGATTTAAAATAATAAATAAAGAAATCCTACCAAGCATCAATACGGACTGATACCTACAGATAAAAAAATATATAAAATTAAAAAGTAATACTATAAATTTTTGAAACTTAAACCTTATATTAATGTTAATATTATGTAAATATAACCAAGGACACGTATAAGGTTCCAAGACAGGATTTGGTAAGTTTGTAAAACGTGATATCTCCGTACCAAAGTCAATGAACCCGCGAGAATATTTGTTGAGAATAGACAACGACACTCTATGTTTGCTGAGCTAAATATACAAGACTTGTTGAGTTTCAAACATATAACACACTCCATTTCACAGGCCTATGTCCAGCAGTGGACTATTAAAGGCTGTTGATGATGGTGATGATTTGTGAATGGAGAGATTTTTTTTAAGAAGACAAACGATCCTTTGCCAGATTGTAAAAGATTACCGCCGCCGATAATAATAAGTCAAGGGTTACAAATGCGTTACCTTATCATCATCAACAGCCTTTACTAGTCCACTGCTGGACATAGGCCTCTCCTTAGGAAGGAGGTTTTGGCCTACGTTACCTTATATTGAGTCCCAATTCCGTGGTTGTCTGATCTATAATATTTAGAAATATATAAGTATGTTTATCAGCAGGCCCGGTTACCATAGTACAGGCTCTGCCTAGATTGGGATTAGACTGTATGTGAAAATATTATTATAATTATTAAAGAACCCTGAGGAAGAGGTAACCTCTCTTAGTCGGTGAAAAGCAGAACTGCTTAACACTGGGTTTCTGTAAAGCGTGGTAACCCTCTTGTCGAGCGAGCACTTTCAGCCATTACCACTGGTATTTAGGTACTTAAGGCTTCGGTAGTTCACGAAAACCATACTAACCCGTTTCATAGTTACAATTTATTTATTGGCGAATTTAAATAAACCAATAAACTATTCAGCCTCATAAATAGATGCTAAAAAATTCAAATCTAAATCTTAATACTTTTTTCAATGGCAATGACCTCGCTCGAAGTGCTGACAGAACGACAGACACGCTAATTGTTTTAATGAATGAGTGTTGAACATCTTGACAAACTGAAATCACAATGAATATTATCAGATTATCGCAGTAGAGCTATCGAAACTGTTTTATAAAAATACTTTGAGTGTTTTAAAGCAAGTTTGCATGACTTTTCAATTACATCATAGACAAAAAACCTACAATTTGATTCTAGCAAAATAACTATTTCTTGCGGCTAGTAAATAAATTAAATGTATATTCCTTGACAAGTTATTATGGGATATTCACCTTGTATATTTTATAGACTGAATAAATGATGGTGCTCATCACGGACTTATTTGTCCTGGTTGGGAATCCAACCTAAGATCGCCAACCAGTAGGCCTATGGACAAGTCAATGCCATCAACATTATACATTTATTTAAACACACATTTGCTGACAAAACTGCTGATGCTAAAATCACAAGTTCATTATGCTAACGGCAAAGAGGACTTACCATAATTATCCATCCATGTGGTGGCGGATAAGGAATAAGGATGCATGTCACCACCCCTATTCATTCCGTGGGTTTCGTAAGAGCCGACTAAGGGAGCAAACTATACTGGATAACAGCACTGCAAAGAGAAGGAAAACTTGAAACAAAACCTACACCAACCCGTCTGGTCAGCGCGGTAAAGAAGGCCAAAACCTCCTTTCTAAGGAGAGGCTTTTATCGAGCAGTGGACTATTACAGGCTGTCGATGATGATGATGATATAAATATAAATGTTGTGTATATATTTGTATATAGATCTAAGTATGTAGTGTTGTGTATATTTTAGTTGAATAGTAATGCAACCTATGTGCGCCTGACACCCACGATTTCTATACCACCCAAAGGTTGACTGGAAGAGAATGCCTTGGGCATTAAGTCCGCCGTTGTACAAGAGTGCATAAAGTTGTGTAAATAAATAAAAGCCGTTTTGTTTAAATCTGTGTGGCTGTGGTTATCTTACTGTAAATCATCCACCAATCATGGAAAAAAATCAAAACATGTACATTAAAACATTTAAACGTTTTACACTAGTGCCATCTATATTTAGAAACAATCAACTGAACTCATTACCAATTTAAAAAATATTATTTTATTTCAGGCTGAGAGATATCGCGACAGACGCAGGCTAGCTACCCCGAGTCCAACCCCGTCTCCCCCACGTCGGCAAGTACCTCCTGCTACAAACAACTCCTCAGGCAACTGGTTCAAGTCACTCGACAGGCTCACCAGTAGGAAGAAAGGGAAAGCTATTAAAGATGCCAAAGTAAGTTTTAAGAGGTAGTTTTATATCATGCAAGCTATTACTGGCTCTTCCTCTCTCTTTAAAGTAATTTAAAAGAAAAAAGTAGTTAAACAAAATTATGTTCTGAAAAGGTGTTCAATCTTTTTTTTTATAAATGACAAAAAGTACACTTTGTACAAAGTATTTGGGGTTGGCCAAACGAGTTTTCCTATTTCTCGTCCGTTCACTGCCTACCTCCTTTCTAGCCATATCCTCTTTCACACAGTACATCCATCTTTCCCTATTGGCACTTTTTGTAAAGAATTTTGCATGTGCCAATAAATTTCTTTCTTTCTTTCCCTTGGTCAACCTCTACTCTTATGTATCCATAAACTTCCATACTTAAAATAACTGCATTCGATACATTTTCAACCTTCACACGTATGACCACGTGTCTGCTTTACGTTCCCCACTGAACTGGTTATCCATTCGCCTGCGCCGCAATCACCGAGCCCAGACTCCTTTTTTTTATTTCTTATCTCTCCATCCTCACCTATTTACCCCTCTCCGTACTTCTGTTTCTTGTTGTCTAATCACCTTGAAATCTTCTTCGCTCTGCAAATAATTTGCTTCTCTTATGTCCCTCATACAATTCCGAGTTCGTGAACTCTTCGTTCTTCATTCAAGCAGTTCTTCTCTAAAATGCACTCCCGCTTGAAGTCATCATGATGACCACTAACCGTTCCGTATTTAAGAAGAAGGTACATGACCTCCTTCTCAATGAGATGGCAGAATCATCCAATCGATAGCACACCAACCAATTTTCTTACGTTCATAGTGTACGAATATAATGTAAATATATATGTTTGTGTATATGTAAATATATATATATTTATATATATATATATATATATATATATTATAGTACGGAGTGTCACCACCCCTATTCATCTCGGGGGTGTCGTAAGAGGCGACTAAGGGAGCAAACAAAGTCTGGCCTGTGTGGTATAGTAGGCCAAAACCTCCTTGCTAAGGAGAGGTCTATGTCCAGCAGTTTACTATTAACGAATTCTACACAACCCAAAGGTTGACTGGAAGAGAATACCCTGGGCATTAAGTCCGCCGTTGTACAAGAGTGCATAAAGTTGTGTAAATAAACAAAACTGTCTTTACTACATTTTGTAGACAGAATAACATTCGCCTTTTTAATACTAAGTCTAGATCTATCTAGAAGTCCGTTATCATCGCACATCCCGTTTCCTGGGGTCATCTATATGAAACATAACACTATTACAAGTACCCGCACAGAAATATCAAATTGTTGATAATTGTGTTTGTTACTCTAATAATTTTTTATACTTCTCTTTTAGATCGAAAAAGAGAGCACTTTAACAACAGAGGACGAGTCTCCTAGAAAGCCGTACACGAAACCTGCAAAACCGCTGAACTCCCCAGCAAAGAACCTCCGTTTCTTCGGCGACACCGATCTGGATTCAGATGCTAATGTAAAGACCCCTGCAGAGAAACGCTACACCGCCAAACACAGCACACTGAGAAAGACCACTTCGAATTCCAGCACAGGGATAGATGAAATTGACCACAGCGAGCTCTCACATAAGAGCTACTCCTTGTCAAATCTAAACAGAGACGAGAAAAGTGAATCTCCACATACGAAAAACTACAAACGGAATCTGCAAAATATTTCCGAAATTCAAAGTAACTCGGAAACAGAAAGTCAGTTCGATAGAAAGGCTAATAGCAGTAAACCTCCGATAAATCCTTATGAGAGGTCGAGAAGTCACAGCAGTTCAAAAACTTTGAAGGGTTCGAAGGGAGATGTAAGGAGGAGACACGAAGAACGTGGTAGCTCTTCTGAGCTCAGAGGGAGCAAGCACGAACTCAATGGCACTTTAAAGTAAGTTCGTATAAATTATATATTTTCTTATAAAAGTTATGGATTACGAAATACTAAATATAAAATACTAACTTTTGCCCGCTGCGCCGCCCGTGTGTTTGTCAGTTATCGCGGTAAAAAGTAACTTATGTTCTTCCTCGAAAATCAATGTTAAATTTCATTAAAATCGATTTAGCGGTTTAGCTGTAGAAGCGTAACAGACAAATAAAGCAACTTATAATATAAGTAGGGATTAATTTAATTATTATTTATGAAGGACTAGCTGCGACTCGCGGTTATTGTTGTACCTTGCTCATTCCACGGGATCACTGCATTTTTTCGGGATAAAATGCTTTTGTGCTATTCCAGACTATAATCTCTGTGCCAAATTTAATCCAGATTCGTTCAGCCATTTCAGCGTGAAAGACTAACGTAACGTACATCCACACAAACGTTCACCTTTATAATATTAGTAAGACTAATTAATATCTTTTATACAGACACCGACGCAGAACACCCGTCACGAACTCTGGCGAGAGCAGTACCGAAGGCGACTCAAGTCACCAATCACAGCGCAGTGTTGTCTACCTGCACGCTACTACTGGTAACTTGTCGTAACTTGGTGTATACTGTATCTTCCATAAAAATTGCATAGCCGAATCCAGAAAGGAACGCTGTTACAAGAATGGCTTCCACTCTGTTGGATACCGCAATTATTGACCAGGACATCTGAAAATAACGATTACTTTAGTCTTCATCATCATCAACAGCCTTTAGTAGTCTACTGGGGTGGTATGGAAGTGTGTATAGTTGACAAAACCTGGGCGTAAAGTTAAAACACCTCAGTCCAGTTAATCAAATCATCAATCATCATCAACAGCCCTTAATAGTTCGCTGCTGGACATAGCCTCTCCTTAGAAAGGAGGTTTTGGCCTACTATACCACGCTGACTAGACGGGTTGGTATAGGATTTCTGTTAAGTTTTCCTTGTCTTTGCAGTGCTGTTCTTTCTCCGTAGTTAGTTGGCTCCTTTATCCACAGGATAAATGACACTATCGCATTCACAACATAAAAAGAACCTATACCAGTGTATGCCTATATCTTATTATTTTTGTGTCCCTTGCATAGACTAGAGTCCTCAGACATAACGAAACATATATAGAAGTTATGGAAGGGAAACTTCTCAACCCCTTGCATTGTCAATTAATTAATAATCGATACCACTAATGTCACAGTTTAGTAAACTGTGTCTATTTATATAAACCACATATTCTGTTCTTCAAGTGTATTGAATTATTTTTTTTGCAGTCGGTGATATCCCAGATCCAGGTCGATTATCACGAAACCGATCCCGAGATGATGTATCATCAGTCAACTCGTCGAATCTTCAAGTCCGCAGTACCACTAAGAGCTTCTCTATCTTCGCTCCATGGACACCCAAACATTACAACGACCAACACGACGTGCATTACGCACAACGACCAAGGAAGCCCAAGCCTAAAGAAATCGTAAAGAAGGCATCTTCAACTAAAACGTTAACAGACGACCGACCAGCGACATTACAAAAAAATAAATCGTACAGCCAAACAACATTGACTCGACGTCCACAAAATAATAATCGACTAACTAGCTCAAGTCAAACACTATACAAAAAACCAGACAAGAGAAATATCACTAGAGACAGCAGAGATAACGGCAACACTACATTGAGAAAGTCAGTTACTCGAGATGCCAAAAAAAGTCAATCGAGTGAAATCATCAATCGTGATAGTGATCGAGAAAGAATTTCTAGATCGATATCGATGCCTAAGGACAATAATAAAAAGGCTGGCTGGTTCAAACTGTCAAGTAAAAATAAAAAACCTGAGCTAAACACTAGAGTACGCTAAATCTTACACACAACTAATTTTACATTCATTTTTATACTAAATTTTCCTTGGGCAAATACTTTCCGATATTTAAGAATAGATTCTAACAAAGTTTATTTTATTTAAAACAAACTATTTAACATTTTGTAAACCACACTTTCTTTACACTAGAAACGGAGTGCCATACTCTAGAAAGTTCTGGAAAGAGACACTGATTTCCCTAGTCTCTGGCATCCTGAACGCAATAAGTTTTAAAGTTATGGTACAATATTATTTTTAGGTGTTCGTGATTAAGTTTTCATAAAAGAATTAAAACGAAGTAATAATTAAGTAATATTAAAAATGCCCAATTGCTTTCCATCGGTGCTATTGTTTTTTTTACTTATCTAGCAGTAATGGTTACTCTACCAGTGCCATGAACCACATAATAATTTTTAAATTCTATGAAATAATAATAATGTTACCATTTTGTAATGTAGTCATAAAATAAAATGCTTTTATTACTAATAAGATATTCAAAATATCTGTTCATATTTTAATTATATTCACTTGTAAGTAAGATGAGTGTATTCATTAATATCTAATACTTTGAAAGTGAAAAGTGTGAAATTCATTTTGGAGATGGCCATTTCAGCGCTCGCGATTCGCTGAACCGTCACGGTTATGTAACTACTACTCTATGATGCAGAGTCTATCGATTGTAATTTGAATGATTTATGAATAAATTGTCTAATAGTATATATGATGTTTTATTTTAAATCTACTAAATAGTATCTTATTATAAAGAACACACAAGAACTTTCATTCAAATCAATCCAGTATTCAATCAATTCAATCATTTGATTGTGGAACTATCGATTCTGGTAACAAAGAAATGAGTATCTCTATTATGAACCTTATTAATTACAGATTACTTATTATACAGCGCACCGAGTGTTTATGTATGTACTAAGAACCATATGGAGTTGCAAATGTTCATAAGGCCTACAAACTGCTTATCTTTGCCAACTTTTAATTAAAAAGTACTTAAACATATAAAAATTAAACAAACTAATTAAAACAAAAACCAAACAAGAAAACCCGATTGCGTGAAATAAAAAGGTTAAAGTTTACAAAGACGATTTAATTTTTATAATTTTTACGTAGTCTCTCGCTAATCGCTCTCAGAATTAAAACGAATCTAGCGGCACTTTCCGAGCCAAAGTCCCTCAAGCTGTTGAGACTTTAGAGCAATCCAAAGAAATATACATACACTCAAAACACGATTATTAAAAATGAGTTAGTTACTATTTCGTAAACAATTAGTGATATAAAAATATAATTCATGATTCCATGGTGGCATTCGTTTGAGAAGGTTACAGCGCCATCTCGTACAAAGTAGCTAGTTTAAATATTCCGCGCTAGTAATTATTGTCAATAATAGGCACTGGCAGCAGCACTGAAATAATCAATATTTTTGTAACCTGCACGCGTTCTATTTTTAAACTATTTAATTTCTTAAAATTTTTACATTTTTGAAAATATTTTTATTTAAAAAAATCTCTGAGAATGTAATTTAATTACAGAAAATGTGTACGTGTCTCAAACTAACATGACGTTTGAGCTATTGACTGCACTAGAGATGTAATAAATAACGTCTAATACCAAACCTAAAATTAGTAAGTTTCACAGTGTAAACTATTTATTATTTAATTTAATAAAACTATACAAAGATACGTAGGAATGTTAGATTTTGTCACATTAGTAAAATATGATGTTTAGCCTATTTATATACCTAACTCAGAGTTTGAGTGTATGGTTTTCCTAAGTACTCGGTAAAATACATAACTACGTGTCTTTAAATTATTGTTACAGTTAGACAGTTATGGATGTCAGAAATGCAAATAAGTACCCATCGATGAAGTCACATTTTCATTAAAAAAAAAACACACAAACACAAATATTAACAGTCTTTAATACATCAACAGTTTTTAATAGTCCACTGCTGCACATAGGCGAGTCCTCTCCTTAGAAAGGAGGTTTCAGCCTACTATACTACACTGGCCAGACCTGTTAGTGTAGGTTTTATGTCAAGTTTGCCTTCTCTTTGCAGTGCTCTGTTGTCCTGCGTAGTTTGCTCCCTTAGTCGGTTTTACGACACCTGTGGAATGAATAGGGATTGTGATATTCCGTATTCTTGATTCGATATTTAATTAATATAAAAAACCGCTTAATAAATGAAAATATATAATTGTGTTGTTGTTGTTTTTCAGTTTCTTTTTATAAAAAAATATTTTATAATAAAACTAACTTGCTAAAAAAAATATTTCTTAACGACCTAAAATAATATGTTTACGTAGGTATTTGTGAACCTAAAACGTTTTCATTTCTTATATGCAGTCCTACGACTGAGTGACTTTCATTTTTGAATGAGCTATAAAATAAAGTAAAGTGAGGGAAAAAAATACTATTTTTAAACCTTTTCAATGATTGAAATAGTCTGTCCAATATCCAATCATTGCAAAAATCATTGAAACTGTAACTTGACTTGTCGAAAAAAATCGATACATCTCTACAAATTTGACATCAACGTTGCATCGTCGATACAATTTAAAATCATTTCATGCGAAAAATAAATAGTTTCATGGCAACTAGCTTTTGATCCATCCATATATAGTTTTTTTTAAACTATAAAGGTTTCCGTCGTTCGTTTATTTCTACTGTCAATGAGTGTCAACGTCATGCCGAAGTGGAAGTCTTCAGTCTTGAAATTTTTGTCATTTAAAATTGGTTTAGTTCAGTTTTAATTGTACAACTGAAAAAGAAACTATTAGATCGTGATTCTTACCGTTAATATTGACAATGGCGCGTAGATATCGAGATGCCGCTGCAAAATTACAGCAAAATGTTCAGAAACATTTGAAGGATATGAAAGAATTATCCTCTTCGGAGGACGAGGAACCATACGAAACTAGTGTTCTCGAAGGTGTATTCCAGAGTTATTCGAGAGGCGGTGGTGACACGTCCATGCTAAATAGAACAAAGAATCTTCTAGAAGAAGCCATCAGCGGCCGCTCTGTCACTTGTCTTATATGTATAGGTTCCATTAAAAGACTACACGCTATTTGGACATGTGAACACTGTTTTTCTTACTTTCATTTGTCTTGCATACAAAAATGGTCCAACGACAGTATCAGCTTACGTAGTGAAGAGAATCAAGGTCCAATTGCTGTGTGTAAGCCGAAGAAAATCGAATGGTGCTGTCCTAAATGTCGACAGTCTTACACTAAAGAAGAGATCCCAAGGAAATATCGATGTTTTTGCGGTAAAACTGATGATCCACAAAATCACCCGTGGCTCATACCGCATACATGTGGAGAGGTATGTGAAAAAAGATTATCAGTAGGAGAAAATTGTAAGCATAAATGTTTGCTTCTCTGCCACCCTGGCCCCTGCCCGCCTTGCCCTCAGACTGTGAATGGAGTGTGTTATTGTGAAAAAGAGCGCAAGAGAGTGAGATGTAGTGCAGCTCACTGGTCTTGTGGTAAACCTTGTAAGAAAACACTATTGTGTAGAACTCATAAATGTGAAAATGTATGCCATGAGGGCGACTGTGATCCGTGCAACTACAGTAGCACCCAGACTTGTCAGTGTAAAGCTGAGAAAACTAAGAGACCATGCAACAATCCATTCTGGCAATGCAGCAAGGTATGCAACAAATTATACACCTGTGGCTACCACAGATGTGAGAGAGTCTGCCACTCTGGTGACTGTGGCTCCTGTCCCAATTCGGGTATGTCATCTTGCCCGTGTGGTGCAAACCAACGCTTTGTGCAATGCCCTGATGTTATGGAAACTTGTCTTGGTACATGTGGAAGGAAACATAATGACTGTGAACACAACTGCCCAGAAAAATGTCACAAAGGGCCATGCCCACCGTGCCAAGTGTTGGTTCAGAAGAAGTGCCAATGTACAATGCATACCAGATCATTACCGTGCAGTAAAGAATTCAAATGTGAAACTAAATGCAAGGGAACTAGACCATGTGGCAAACACGGTTGTGCACGGAAGTGTTGTAATGGTAACTGTCCACCGTGTGAAAAAATATGTGATAAACCTCTTCAATGTGGTAGACATAAATGCACAAGTATTTGTCATCGTGGACCCTGCTACCCATGTCCTAGGGAATCAAAAGTAACTTGCAGATGTAAGGAAACATACATTACAGTCCTATGTGGAAGGGAGAGACACACTAAACCCCCAAAATGTTCAATGCTATGCAAACTTAAGTATAAATGTGGTCATGTAGAGGAAAATAGACACTCTTGCCATTTTGGAGAATGTCCACCTTGCAAAGCAATATGTGACAAGCAATATCCAAAATGTGGACATCATTGTGAAGCAGTATGCCATGAATATGTGGCTGTTGTTTTTAAACAGGTTGAAAAGCCTGCTACACCCTGGGAGGTTCAACCACCAAAAACTAAAATAATGACTTTGGAATGTCCTCCATGCAATACACCGGTTCCAATAGTATGTTTCGGAGAACATGAGACTGATGAACAGCCTTGTCACTCTGCTACTAGAAGACCTTGCGGAAGAGAATGTGGACGTCTACTTGCTTGCAGTAACCACAAGTGCTCCTTACTATGTCATCTCTATAGTCCAGTTGCTGAGTACCCAAATGTGCCATCCAGTTGCCGACAGTGTAACCAAGAATGTTTAGTTTCACGTCCAGAAAAATGTACACACAAGTGTCCAAAGCGTGCCTGCCATCCTGGTCCTTGTCCTCCCTGTGAAGTACTAGAAAGGCTTCCTTGCCACTGTGGCATAACAGAAATATATTTACGTTGCCGAGAAATATCTGTTGCCACTGAGGAAAATTTATCATGCAAGCAACAGTGTCCAAAGAATCTGGAATGTGGCCACCGTTGCCGCAATACATGTCATTCGGGGCCTTGTGGGAATCAGATATGTACTAAAAAGACTAAGATACACTGCACATGTGGTAATATTAAAAAAGAAGCTCCATGCAATGCTGTCCGTAGTGGAGAAATAAAAATACTTTGTGATGCAACATGTGAAGCTAAGAAGATAGCAGCAAAGATAGAAAGTGAAAAAGAGAAGCAAAGACTAAAAGCGTTGGAGGAGGAAAAGAATAGAAAAGAGTTGGCTGAATATGAATGGAAATTAAGTGGTAAGAAGAAGAAATATAAAGAAAAGAGGGTAGTTGTTAATACAGATGATAGAGGAGTGTTACAAAAATACTGGATACCAATATTGTCTGTAATTATAGCTATATTAGGGGCTTGTTATTACGTATTTTATGTATAAAGTGCTAAATGGAATACATGACAGTCAATTATAATTTTAAGGTAATTGATACCAATGATTGTGTGTTAATAATTTTATTGTAATAAAGCAACTACCAAGTAGTTGTATTGTAGTTAGAACTGCTAGTTATGTGCACATTACAGTTAGTTTTAGTTATATTGTATGCATGTGCTTTCTCTGATATTTAACACATTCCTAAGAAACAGGGCAAATATCCTTGCTGTGTGTTTCAGTCGTTAGTAGACTGACTAGTTTTTACAGGACTACTCAAACTAATACAGATGTATTTAGCAACAAAGCAACAAGGCCTAAATTTTTTCATGTGTATTCTCAAAAAAAACCTTTATATTGATAGAGGGTTAAAGTGTCTACTATACAAAATGATGTTACTCCAATTTGCTGCCATTGTTGATAATTGGTATTGGTTGTGGGCTCTGGTTTCCGGTTAAAAGAAAACTTAATAAAATCATTCTTGTTCAAAAAAGAGATGTTACAACAATACAGGCTGTACGATTATGAGTTTATTATGTTGTAGGTAGATTATAGAATTGATCAATTTATAATGTGTGCATTTAATGAAATCATTATAAGTCATAAAATGGTCACTTACATCGTAATAAGGTCTGGCTACTGGCTGACTGATTGTTAGGAATTATAGTAATCTGTCCAAAAACGTCTCTGTGTCTATCTCGTAAGTGTTTTCAATACAAAACCAACCAGTAAACAACCAAACCATACCATAAAACTAGTAATGTGATTACACATTAGTATTCTGGTTAACCGCTCATTCTGATGTAAATCAATATGTTAGGAGTGGGTGCAATCACAAATCCGACCCTCTATTACATTAAAAATGCTGATTAAATAATACTCAAACAAATATATATATAAAATTTACTTTATATATTATGTACATTATACATATATGTAAATAAAGTATATAAAAATTTATGTTATCACAAAGTTCAAGCCCTGAGGTAGTTTATATAACAATCTCAGTGTTGAATAAATATAAATTTATACGGTAGACCACAAAGTTTTTAGTTTGTTTTAGTGTCTTGACAACTTTTTAAATTTATGTCATATTGTCATCCCTTTCTATTGTTTTCTTATAAAAGAATAAAATCGTGTTCGTAACAAAGTAAGAATTCTTACTCGTTATTAATAATTTTACCAAAATAACCAATAGGTTATGGGCCCAGGCACATAATAAGTAAATACTAATAATAATTTCAACAAAAACTCGAGTAAAGAGCAAGATTACTACCGGTGAAAAATTTGCCCGTAGTATAATGGAGGTTACGAACGCGATGAAAATTGAGAAGTTTGATGGAAGAAATTTCAAACAATGGAAGTTTCAAGTCAAATGTGCATTAAGAGCAAAGGGCTTAAACATAGAAAAGGCAAGACCCTTGGAAGCCAGTTCGCAAGTGCAGTGGGATAAAGATGATGGCATGGCCATGTTCATTTTAACATTGTCCATGGATCTTAACCAAATATCTCTTATAGAAAACTGCGAGACTGCTAAAGAAGTTATGACAAAGTTGGAAGCAATCTATGAACAGAAATCAGAATATAACAAGATGTTAATTCATGAAAAGTTTTATCAATATTCATATAGTGCTAGTGATACGATGGCACAGCACGTGTCTAAGGTGGAAGGCTTGGCAAAAGAGCTACGGGAGACAGGTGAGAAGATCAGTGACACAGCAGTAATCACAAAGATTTTAAGCACATTACCATCAACATACCGTTCGCTTAGACAAGCATGGTTGTCACTGGATGAAGATAATCAAACAATTCAAAACCTTACTTCTCGCTTAGTAGATGAAGAAGCTAGCCTTGCCAACGACACAAGTAGTAATGAGACTGCATTAGTGACGTCAAAACCAAGTTTTATGAAGAAACAGTTTACTTCAAACGGTCAAAGAAATTCAAGTCACAGATTTGTATGCTACAATTGCAATAAAAGAGGTCATTTTGCTAAAGATTGTAGGATGCCAAAGAAAAGATACAATGATAAGAAACCTAATAATATGTTGGCATTAAGCGCTGAAGGTTGCTCATCTGAACATGATGAAGAGGCATGGATACTTGACAGTGGAGCCTCAATGCACATGACTTTCAAGCGTGACTACTTCTGTGAGTTGAAAGAGTCTCAATACAATAATTCTGTTGAGTTGGGTAACAAACAGAGTATCAAAGTATGTGGTGAAGGAACTATACTGATAGATAAGCAAGTTAATGGTACATGGGAGAGATGCACACTTGAACATGTGTTATATGTACCTGATTTAAGGAGAAATCTGTTTTCTGAAGGCGCTGCCACTAGAAGAGGATATGTAATAGTAAAGGATAATGAAAAAGCAATGATTATGAAGAATAGTGTGGTTGTTATGTGTGCACAATTGACAGAGAACAATTTATATGAATTGGATGTTAAAACAATCAAACAAGAAAATTGTAATATTGTGCAAACAGATATAAAAGTTTGGCATGAAAGATTAGGACATTTGAGTGTCAAAGAACTTCAAAACATGAGTAAAAATGGTGTGATTCCAGTTACATTGACAGGAAATCAGAATTTTGTTTGTGAAGCGTGCCAATATGGGAAGCAAGCAAGACGCCCCTTTTTGAAATCTAACCGAGGTCCAACACAGCCTGGTGAGATTGTGTACAGTGATGTGTGTGGTCCTTTAGAAGAACCTTCTGTCTCTGGTGCGAAGTACTTTGTCTTATTCAAAGATGGAGCTACAAGCTATCGCCATGTTTACTTCATGAAACATAAGAGTGAAGTATTTCAATGTTTTCTGAAGTACAATGCAATTGTGAAGAATAAGTTTCAACGTGATTTGCAAATACTTCATACAGATAATGGTTGTGAATATGTAAATCAAGAATTCACAACATTTCTGGAGAATAAAGGAATAACGCATGAACGTACTGCTCCGTATACACCACAACAGAACGGGAGAGCAGAGAGAGAGATGCGTTCTATCGTGGAAACTGCAAGGACAATGATACATGCAAAGGACCTTCCTTTATATTTGTGGGCAGAAGCTATCAACTGTGCAATATATTTGTTGAATAGAAATACATCAAGCCAAACAGGAGATGTTACACCATTTGAACTGTGGCATGGAGTAAAACCTAACTTACAACATATCAGAATATTTGGATCTATTGGTTATGTACATGTTCCAAAAGAAAAGCGAAGGAAGCTTGCCAAGAAAAGTGTAAAGATGTTATTAATTGGATATGACCATGATAACTACAGAATGTTTGATCAAAATACCAGAAAGGTAACTGTATCACGAGACGTGAAGTTTGATGAATGTAGTACATCTGAAGAAAACCAAAGTTTTGTAGAAATGAGAATTCAACAAGAAGAAAAAGAACATTCTACAATGCCAACACCACAGAGTGAGCTTCAATCTCAACATGATGTGCTTGAAGAAATGTCTTCAGATGATAGTATGAAGAGTTTAGAAGATTCAGATGATAGTTATATTCCTCCAAAAGGTATACATTTGGAACAGGAACAACAGAGAAATATCACCTTACGTCCTCGTCGTCATAATAAGTTAGAAGCTAATTTCACAGAGTTGGAAATACCTAACACTTATGTAGAAGCAATGAATAGCCCAAATTCTCAACAATGGAAGAAAGCTGTGGTTGAAGAGCTTCAGTCACACGAAGAAAATCAAACTTGGGTATTGACTGATCGAACTGAGAAGAAGCCTGTGTCTTGTAAATGGGTATTCACCATAAAGAAAAATAAAGATGGAGCGATAGTACGATACAAAGCACGACTGTGTGCACGAGGATTCACACAAGTCAAGGGCTTAGACTATAACGAAACTTTTTCCCCCACTAGCAGGTACGACTCCATCAGGGTATTGCTGAGTATTGCTGCCAGAGATGACCTACAGATAGAGCAATTTGATGTCAAGACGGCCTTCTTGTACGGTGAGCTCTCTGAGGACATATACTTGGAGGTGCCTGAGGGATTGAACACTCAGTCTTCAAAAGTTTGTAAGTTAATTAAATCGATTTATGGTCTTAAACAATCTTCAAGATGTTGGAATGAGAAATTTTGTACTTTCCTAACTACTTATGGTTTCAAACCCAGTCCATCTGATAATTGTGTGTTTGTGGGATATTTTAAAGGTTTCAAAGTAATATTAATTATTTATGTTGATGATGGATTGTTGTTGGCTAAAAGTAAAGTTGTTTTGTCTGATGTGTTAAATGATCTTAAAGAAAAGTTTGAAATTAAAATTATAAACTGTAATGCATTTATTGGTATGGAAATAAATAGAGAAAAGGATTATATAAGTATAAGTCAAAAACAGTATATCAAGACAATAATAAATAAATTTAATTTGTTAGATGCTAAAGGTAGTAGTACTCCTGCTGATGTTAATGTACAATTATCTAAGAATACCAGTAATGAGCCTAATAATTTCCCATATAGAGAAGCAGTGGGAGCATTGTTATTCTTGTCATCTGTATCTAGACCTGACTAAAGCTTTGCCTGTGAATAAATTTAATTTAATTAGAGATAAGATGATGAGAAATATTTAAAGTACCTAAAGTTTTATGTTTTAATGAATTGAGTCATGTTTCATTTTAGAGATTGTTGTAAATTAAAGTAAGAGTAAAACAGTGTATAATGTTGAGATATGTGTACTATGTATTATGTTATAAAGATTTGAAGTTAATTGTTATGTCTACCTTATAAATTTAAGTGGGAGTGTTGAATAAATATAAATTTATACGGTAGACCACAAAGTTTTTAGTTTGTTTTAGTGTCTTGACAACTTTTTAAATTTATGTCATATTGTCATCCCTTTCTATTGTTTTCTTATAAAAGAATAAAATCGTGTTCGTAACAAAGTAAGAATTCTTACTCGTTATTAATAATTTTACCAAAATAACCAATACTCAGGATCTCCAGTTTTTAAATAAAAGACAGCTGGTTTTGGTAACAAAACTCCTCAAAAGTGATTTGATGACATGATATTGTGAACAACACTCCAGAGCAATAACCTAGGGCCTCAATTCTGCCATTTTAATATTGTATCAATAGACCGTCGATGGAATGTCGTCGGAATAGGTTTGCACTTTTCCTATTCTACTAACTATGTAAGACCAATGGCCTTTCAATGACTGATACAAATGTCGTCGATGACTTTGTAACAGTTTGGTAAACGGTACATTTTAAATTTGTAAGAAAATTATATATTTAATTTTCCAGGTGTGGCAATGTTATTGATATCACCATTGATGACCTATATTACTATATCGACCGTCTATTGACACTGTTAATTTATTTTAGTAGAATTTAGTAGAATACTAAAATAAATTAACAGTTATTTTGACCAATGTCAATGGCGTCTCAATGGCATCTCAATAGCGTGTCAATGGAATTACAGTGGCTTGGCGTTAACATAAAATAGCAGAATTGAGGCCCAGGTTACAAAAAGATTCCTCAATTCCTTAAAACTGATTGATAATGCTTGCTTAGTGTAACAAAATGGCAATTAAATATTCTTTAAATAAAAGTCATAAAATATATTTATCAGTTTATATTATATTTATAAAAACTTTTGGGAATTACATATTTTACATTACATTTTATTACATATTTAGAGAGCTTTTAAGTATTAGCTTAATAAAATTTCCGTTCTCACGCATAGCCCGAAAATCTTGGTTCGTCCTCAGCAAATCTAGGTTACAAATCAAGATCTGGTTAAGATCCAGGCTGCGTTATTGGCACTATCGATGTTGTTAATGACCAATTCTTGAAAGCACTTCAAGTATTTAAAATGCGACCAAGATCATTGCTCTCAAGTGTACTCAACATGGTAACTTCATCCAAAAAAATTGCTTCATCTAAACTACTTGTAGCATAGGGTAAATGTTCATGCAGCAGGACGATGTTCCTACATGTACCTGTACATGTGTGAGCTTAGCAGTTCTCTTTCATTTTTGCAATCCATATGTGGGATATTGCAATGGATAAAAATATCATAGAATTCGCTGTCACTTATATTATTTTTAACTACGACGAAGCCATAAAGAGCTTAGATACCTATATGTTTGACCTGTGTGACTAGGTACTAATTGGGTAAACCAAGTTTAAAGTCTAAAACCGAATGTCTCATTTTTTGCGCCAATTTGTGTCTTCAAAATTCCTATTCATCCATGATAGTTTAACTGGGACATCAAAATGAAAGATTTTAAAAAGTGATCATTTTTTTAATGTAAACTTTCTGCGTTATTTTGGTGATGGTAAATACCTACTGCGTGATTTAGCACTCTTCACTTTGACATTTCGACAGAAATATGATCCCCCTTTGAGTTTTCAACATCACATTTAGAGTTTATATAGTGTCAATTGATTAAAAAAAAACAAGATAAAAGCGATAGTGTCAAATGCAATGCATGTATAAGTAAAGTTGTAAAATAGTAAAACCGAAGGGATTACTAACCTAAATTCAGTATTTCAAAGTAATGATATTCAAATTCAGTACTATAAACAATGTAATCGAATAATTTGTGGCTTTGAAGCTGTTCTGATGATGAAGCCAGGATGGTGAATAGTGTAACTCTGTTTTTAAGCTATTGCATAGCTTCTATCGAGGGCCTTGAGCGCGGGGACCGAATCCAGAAATTCCGTAGGTAACGAAAAAAAACCTCACGCTCAAAACAAAACAAAAAACAGTACCAAAATCAAATGCTGAACGTCAAAGGAAATTTCGTCAACATAATGCAGAAAAATCTTACATGGATATGTAATTTGATTTAGTAATAATATTTTTTATTTATTTATTTAAAAACAAATTGTAATATATGCTTCAATATTTATATTTAATAAAAGAAAAAAAAATGTTTTCTTATCGGTCACCACGCTCAAAAAGTGTAACTCGAATTAATATCAAAGAAAAAGAAATACTGCATAAATAAAATAAATAAATAATTATAATTGCATAAGTTGATACAAAATGCTATGCAATAGCTTTACCGCGGCAGTCCCCGAGTGCCACACGTCTTTTTTTTTTATTCCATTAGACAAAGTTTTTATATTATTGCTATTATTGTAATTTTTAGATTGTGATTTTATATAAATTAAAGTATTTAATTTAATTTAAGTTTATTTTTATGATCCTCCTGTGTCATAATATAAAAGATTACCTTTATTTATATGACCAATTTTTAAAAGGCTTTTACTAGCTTATGTACCTATGCAACGGCATCGTCGAACGTTGTTTGGACCAACTTCAAAACGTCGAATTAAATTAAATCTTGGCACACTTATCAAGGACCGATGACAATACAATAATTTAATAAATTTGGCCGATTATCCTAATCAGGATCTTCAGGATTAACTGCTTTTTCCATACCTAAAAATACGGTAGTGTCTTTTTCTATGTACTACGAGGCGTGTGCTAAAGCATATGTAACTTACTTGTTACTTTTTTGGTCTTAACATTTATAAGCATAGAGAGAACACGGGGTACAGGTGCCTGTATATGGAAGGGATACATAGAACGAGAGATGGATGCCCGATAGTTCCCTCTGTTTTTGTTGAGCTAAGCTACGATTGGCTATCGTGATTCGATGATTCGATCGAAGGAGCATGGTTTTGATCGCACAACACGCGGGAGACGAATTTGCCCTGGTCAAGCACAGAGCTTACCTAGAAAAACATAGAGTGCACCATCTATTATCCACCCCTCTCGTTGCCTGTTTTGCAAAATTAGGGCTCTTGTTCACTATGCTTATATCTCTATGGGTCATAATGACAAAATAATCACCATTAATGATTAACAAAGCACAAATATGTTAGTTTAAAAAAAACGAATTAACAGGCTTTTGTAACTAGCCGAACTAAAAAAGTAGAAAAGAATTTTCTATGAGTCCAAAAATAAAAATCATTTTATAGTAAAACAGCGTGCGGTGCTTTTTAAGAGATATTTTATAGTAATTTTACTTTAACCAATATCTGTCAATAAAATATTTTTACAACAATGTAGCACCCCAGCATTTTTATGATAAAATGGTTTTTCTTTTCTTAAAGAAGTGGGGGCAAACGAGCGGACAGGTCACCTGATGGAAAGTGACTACCGTCGCCCCTGTACATCTGCAACTCAGGAGTCACACGCGCGTTGCCGGCCTTTTAGGAAGGAGTACACTCTTTTCTTAAAGGTTTGAATATACGACGTTTGAATATATGACGATAACTTGTTCTACAGATTGGTTGTGCTTAGCAAAAAATGTCTTGAAAAGCTCACTGTGCACACCTGACCCTCTAAGTGACCCCGAAACTAGACTTAGCTTGATATGTCTATGCCAAGGACTACCCTGGCTGAGGCAGTTAGGGGAGTGCTACGGTTGGGTACGGTAACGGGATTTTCTTTTGCGGTGAACGCGCAAACCAGTGTCTTTTTTGGTTTAAAATGGACTAGATTTAGTCGAACCCTATCTGAAACCGCCGCTAAGGAAGTTTCAATTTAAGACACAAGTTTGTTTCTACTCTGGATGACGTTTTCCCGAGAAATATTCTTGCGGCCGGTATAAAGGGCATTTCCCGTACTATCATCCGCATAGCAATGGATGCTACTAGTTTGGAACATGTCATTGATATGCAGAAGACACTGTGGGCGATAGCACACAGCCTTGCGCGACACCAGCATTTACAGATTTCAATTCACAACTACAACGACCTTAATGCTTCTGTTTGTAAGGAAAGTGGTGACCCAGTTACATAATTTCTCGGAAAGCCTATAGAAAGGGAGCTTTGATAGAAGCGCTTTATGCCAGACCCGATCGAAGGCCTTCGCTAGGTCCAAGCTAAACGCACAAGCCTCTCCCTTGTTCTCGATTCCCTGTGCCCACCGGTATGTTAGACAGACGAGAAGTGCAACCCGGCGGAAACCATATTGTCCGTCATTGAGTAGCTGGTGATTTTCTTAGTACCAGAAGAGCTTGCAGTTGATTACGAATTTTATTCCAGAGAAACGTTGAGCATAGCCCTTTTCATAGCACTCAAAGTGACTTTTAAGCTTGTGGACCAACCGTGCGGTAAGTGTCCACGTTTCGGCTCCATATGTCATGACGGGTAGGGTGCACGCATTGTCCAGAAGGGGTTCTTTATATAAATAAATTATAGTGGACTGTATAAAATAAGACTTGTATTAAGTACAACAAAATAAATATGTAAGGCGAGCGTCGCTATCCAACTATCCAATGTATGAATTGCGCGGAGTGGGGTATCACACTGAGAGGATCGTCTACTCGCACCGCTGTCCTCTTCTCCCCGCCGCTGCTCGGTGCTCGAGAACAGAGGCTCATTGAAGACTTTCGTCTTTAGGCACTATAGGATCGACGACAAGAAGACTCGACCTAGGTTCCCAAACGCTGACAACCCAACTGAAGTCACCTCATCCTCGAAGTTGTTTCTACCTAAGTGCAATGGCTAACGTTCTTTGAGAACGGCACCGTGTACCGCAATCGGTTTCGGTAGTACATGTTCCTTGAACATGACCTTGGTTTTATCCAAGTTTATCCATAGGTTCATCGCCATTGATTCAATATTAATGCCACGCTTTTTCCAGTGCAGCGTCTTGAACATGTCCTCGATTGCATTTGTGATTGTATTGTAACAAGATTGTTAATATTTTTATATTAACACTTCCATGTAGTTTTATTGGAGTCATTTATTCCCATTCCTAATTTAGAAAATAATATCTAAGAGACTACGATTTTGTAGTTGCAAAAGACGTACATAATTATAATGGAATATTGTTGTAAGCCACACATACCTATCCATAGCCAGTTCTAACAGAATTTTTCTTTTTTTTATACGTTAATTTTATTGATGTAGACCTGTGGCCCAACTATATTGCCCTAAAACAGTAACACTGTAAATGTCAAAATAAATCTACATAATGAGGTAAATAATGATACAAAAACTTAATATCAATTAAATTAGCTGCATTTATTAAAAAAAATCGACTGTTTTTTATATGCCCGTTTGTTATGTTGCTAATGTTTGTTAATGTAGAAAGACATTAAAAGTGAAATATTTGTTAATGACAAGCTTATCTATATCGGAAAGTGTCGACCGATGAATCATGTTGGACGCTATAGGTAAGAAATTAATTTACCGCTTGCCACTACTCCCTACAAAAAATGGCGCCAATTCGTACGTACGTATTTTTAGATTTAGAAACTACCGGTCTACCGCGCGAAGAGTTAAATAAAACGAAAATAATAGAACTTAGCATGGTGATAGTGAAACGGAGACATATTTTGGAGACGCTAGCAGGGCATTTACCGCGTGTCCAACACAAGCTTACAATGTGCTTCAATCCGGGAAGAATGATATATCCTGGAGCAAGCCAAGCGTCAGGACTCGACAATGATCTACTGGAATATGAAACTTGCTTCAATATAGAGGTATTTAACACTATCAAGTCGTTGCTTGCGTGCCAAGAGAAGCCTTTGTGTTTAGTTGCCGAAAATGGTCATGCTTTTGACTTTCCAATATTGAAAAACCATTTTCAGAAATTAAACGAAAGTTTGGATGAGGATGTGATGTGTGCAGATAGTCTTCATGCGTTTTATGATATACTCAATGGTGCACCATGTTCAAGTCCAGAACAAAGCGATGGTTCGTCTACAAATGGTAAACTGAATGTTAACAAAACGGAAAACAAGAAAGATGAGTTAGACTGCTCCTTAAAAGATAATATCTCAGGGATACTAACTGCTAGTGAGTCTGTGGTTAAGGATGATGCAGATGCTCTTTCTATGAAATCTCAAAACGAGAGAACACCGAAATCTAACACATTTAAAGTTACTCCCAAGAAATTGAGAGATGTCAGAAGAAAACTCTTTTACGTAAACAACAAAAAGCCAGACCAACTTTATAAGCTTAAAAACATATATGAGCGTATTTTAAAGCAACCAGGAAAAGATGCTCACAGGGCCGAGAGTGACTGCATAATGACAGCTGAGATAGCAACTGCCAAAGCAGAAGAGTTTGTGGAATGGATTGATAACAACCATTGTCCTTTTTCAGAAGTTAAGGCCATGACCCTTGCTGTACCAGTGGGTCATTAGGCTTTGAAGAAAGTTTCCTTTGCATGTTTAAGTTTATTTAAAAATAAGATAATTCGTGGGGTGCTTATTACATCTGCAGTCCGCTGGAGTCACGGACAGTTACTTCTGTAATTTTAACCTTAGTTATATTTCTTTATTGTTTTATTAAATAGAAACTTATCATAGATTACATAACTGCACCGGAATATTCTGCAAAGCTGTTGTATATAATAGCGCTGTCCTAGATAAATGTATTTTTCTGTTGGTGTTTTCACCATTTTACTTTCTTGAAATAGACATTTATAGAAGTGGTATTCATATTTATTAAATATGTACAGTTATACTTAAAAAGGTGACCACTTTGAAAAAATTTCATATCTGGTCTAAAACCAAAATATACACAGGAATGGAACTGTGAATCTTTGATAAATATAAATAATGTATGCACCTGTATATTATATGTGTAATTTATTTGTTGTAATTTTTTAAAATGAAATTTATATACATTTGAGATTATTTTTACTTGTTTCAGGAATTGTGGGCAATTTTATTAGATTTTATGTTTTATTTATAATGATTTACACATTGAAATGACAAAATTTGGACTGAATTGTCAATATTGATCTCTAAATTACCAAATTAGACTTTAATTCGGAAATAAAGTGCTATAATAATTTTTATAATAAATACTTTTAAGTTTAGTGTGTAAGGTTGAGGATTATTTACAAAATAAACATTACATATTTATATATTTGGTTGTTTTACTCATCTTACTTACCTTCAATACTGCAATGGATGTGTTAAACCACCTTAGATATTCTGATGAAATTGAATTAAAAACTGATAATTACTGTTAACCCAGAAACACTGAACTGTTCCAAGATCTGGCTACTAGCTGAGAAGAGCGGGAATGACAATAAATACGCCAGTTACCAGTGTGTGAGAGATGCAGTGATCCCTAAAAAAAATATTTTTTTTAAGAAAAACTAAATAATGCCTATTATACTGCCCATAGCTGCACACTCCAATAAAATTCCTAAAGATATTACAGATTTAGAATTAAATAGCTTTTAAAATGTTTCAAAAGAGTTCCTCATAAAAAATTATTTTATTTTACCTGAGTTTCTTGATTATAAGTCTGATTAATTTATATGTGTTATTTTTGTGTAGTTGTGTGTAATTTTAGGTCTAATTATATGTGGTATAAGGTTTTGTGTTGTTAATTTTTAGTAAACTGATTTTGTTAAAATAACTTATTAATTAAGATTTAACAATAATTAAAATTTGTATTGATACGGGTACAATGTAGCCATCTATTTTAAATAATAAATGTAATATCTAATATTTATTTAACCTACATTAACAAATAAATATTTCTATTTCTATTATGGTCTGTTGGTCTAGTGGTTAGTGACCCTGACTGCTGTGGCAGAGGTAGTGCGTTCAATTGCCACCCAGGATATTTGTCCTTGTGTGATGACCATGGTCATTTGTTCTGTGTCTGGGTGTACTTTATCTATAATATGTATGTATTTAGAAATATATAAGTACCTATGTTTATCAGCAGTCTGGTTACCATAGTACAGGCTCTGCCTAGTTTGGGATCAGACCACCGTGTGTGAAATGTGTGAAAATTATTATTATTGTTGTTATTCCTAGGACCACTCAGGTTTACCAGTTGACCAAATAGATTTTTGCTTCTGACTGCTATGAAAAGCTTTTGTATAGTCTCATAGTTTCTAAAATCTTCCTGGTCTGGAGATTTATGTAAGTTTCTTCTCACTGTTTAAGGAAAATGCCAGTTTTAAGTGTTTCTTTGAAAATCTTGGTTAAGATTGGACCTAGCCTTGCTGTGTCCCACAACAATTTATTTCGGATATCATCTGTCCTGGGAGCTCTTTCTAATTTCTGATATTCAATGACTTTTTGCACTTCTGCCTGGAGTACTTGGGGCCATGCTAATCTCCTTGCTTGGTTGGCTCACCTAGCTAACCAGTCCTCGACGCATAAAGGACCACTATTGAGTCTAAATGCGGAAACCAAAGCCCACAACCAATACCAATACTAGGGAGTACTTGGGATACATTGTTGTATCTATTGGTTTTAACAAGCCACTTGCTGGTACCCAATCTTAGCCTTTTATTAGATGGTTTTGTAATGTTTTGCTGATAATTTCTAAATTTCCTTTTGTTTGATCATATTTTTAAAGATTAAAATGCAACCAATGCTTTTCAATCTCGTAATATATTCCTATGCCAAGTTCTTTAGCTCCTTTAAAGCATTTTTACTTATGTACTTACCTCTTTTTTTAATAATATTTATTTTGCTATATCAACACTAGCTAAATGATATTTGGACTTATTGTTGCTGGCAACACTGCATTCATTGTTAGGTACCTAGCTGATTAAATTGACAATTATGCAGTTGACAACTTATCGAAAATAGTTTTAAACACTTCATATGTTTAAAATAATATCAGTGGAGATATATTTAATACATTATTTTTCTCTTAAATGGCCACAAGAACGCGGCATTATGGTCACGGGACTACGTGTGACGTCATCGTTCGACAGAATACTTAAATTTCTACAGAAATTTACTAAGTGTAAAATCAGCATTGTTTTCTATTAAGTCAAAGAAATTAACAATGCTGTATTCAAGGAGAATTCCTATCTAAGGAGACGCCTATGTCCAGTAGACTGTTAAAGGCTGTTGATGATGATGATGACTTGCTTGTCGCTTATTACTTGTAATTGTATTATTAATTTATTCCATGGTATATGTACTTAGGAAAGCTATACTTTGGCACAAATTAAGGAGTTTTTTTTTTTTTTTTTTTTTTTTTCCGTGCGGAAATCCCCTCGGATACCACCTGTCGGTGGCATGTCGGACTCGAACCGACTAAAACCGCACGCCTTCGCCGGGTACTAATAGCCGGGGAACTAGGTATACCCTAGAAAGGAAGTCCCTGGTACCCCGACATACCTCGGGTCATCTACAGACGAGTAGGCGACCCCCCCCCCCCCCCCCCGTGTGGGAACCCCATGTTCCCTGTGCTCCCTCCTGGAAGCGAGCGCGCTTCGCAACGCGCTCGCCGCCACCCCGGCCTGCTTCTGCTAGGGTGACAGATGGCCTCACCTGTCACCCCCAGGCCTGAAGGAGCCTGACCTGAGTTATACCACGGCTTTACAGAAAACAATATTAAACAATTCTTACGTTATTTTTCGCCACCATGTTACGATTGTCTGTGGTTTTCACACTAGACATAGAGAATAGACTGCGCGTTCCTTAGTCAGTTTTGAAGTGAATACAGACCGAAAAGTACGTGGGAGATAAAGCGAATGTGCGGCCAGTGGTTGTCTCTTTCTAGTATTCTGATTTGTTCACGTCACTCGGTAAGTTTACAAATAAGTAAAGTGATGAATAGCAAGTGTATATATTTTATGTAAATTTACAGTAATTTACATAAAATATCATTTTTGTTATGTTAAAAAAAAGTAGCTAAACTTGTTCAGTTAATTAAAAGTTTAATTTAATTATTTTTTTGTTTTAATATTATACTACCGTAATAAGTAAAACATTGCAGAAAAGAGACAGGTATTGGCCGCACAGTCGCTTTGTCCCTTTCAAGAGAAGAGTGGTCACTTTTGTGAGAATAACGCTCAATCCATTATATATGTCTGTGCCACGTCCACGGCCCCACTCAGGCGTTGGCTGCTTGCGGATCAGACACAGGTAATTCCCGAAACATCATTTCCCAGTGATCACCTGCGTCAGCTGGTATGAGAGGGTCCGGTGATGCCTCTCGAGCCAATCTTCCAATATAACAGATACCCTGTCAATTTTGCGGCCACTTCTCGGTCTAAAAGTATTTGAACTAAATCTTAATACCTTTATGTGTCAAAACTCATCGGTAAAAAAACTAAAAATGAAAAATTGTTATATATATTGGTCTAACAAATAAATATTATTATTATATTTGAAATATGTTTGTTACATAAGGCATAGTATACACTTTTCTTAATAAGCGTTTAAATCTCTAAACTTTAACTTTTATATTAAAGTAGGTAGGAAATTTAAAAAGTTTGCTCTAAGAGGTGAACGTTTCAAAAGTGTTGTAAAAATTAATTACGGACGGATTAAGAATACAGAGTGCCACCACACCTATTCATCCCATGGATGTCGTAGGGCCGTCTAAAAGAGCAAACTAAACAGGACAACAGCACTGCAAAGAGAAGGAAAAGTTGAACCAATCCGTCTGGCCAGCGTTTCGTAGTAGGCCAAAACCCTCCTTTCTAAGGAGATGCCTATGTTCAGCAGTGGACTACTAAAGGCTGTTGCGAAAATGGAATGTACTATTTAGATCTTACAGTCTGAGGTTTTTTGTTCTTATTCCACCATTAGGCATGCAAATAAAATGTGCTGGTCTTAAAATAGTAATAAAGTGATAATAAAATACTAATAATTTGTGTTATTATATGTAAATAATGACGGAAAAAGGTAGGTACACATTTATGTATATAATACCAGAATTTTTATAAAGCAGGACAATATAGTTTTCATGTATAGGTAATATTAGTGTTTTTAAACTTCGCATATTCTAGCCCATTATGCGATAATAATTCTATTTATTATAATGGTTTGATAATAAGTTTATCAATATGATATCATCAAATCATTGTTGCGATGAGTAACAGCACTGATATAAAAAGGATGTTTGATGAAGGCACTCCATTTACCTGTAAAAATGGCACCAATTCAGTCATACGTATTTATTGATTTAGAAACTACCGGCTTACCGGTCAGGGAATCTTATCAAACAAAAATAACAGAACTTAGCATAGTGATAGTGAAAAGGAGACATATATTGGATACAGTACCAGGGACGCTACCGCGTGTCCAACACAAACTCACCTTATGCTTCAATCCGGGCAGAATGATAGATCCTGAAGCATCCCAAGTGTCTGGACTCGACAACGATCTATTGGAATTCGAAACAATGTTCGATATACATGCTTTTAACACCATCAAGGAGTTCCTCACGTGTCAAGAGAAACCATTGTGTTTGATTGCCCACAATGGTTTTAACTTTGATTTTCCAATACTGAAAAGCCGTTTTGAGATGTTAAACGCCCATCTGGATGCAGATGTGATGTGCGCAGATAGTCTTAATGGCTTTTATGACATACTCAGGGAAGGTCCAAATTTTCAGGTTGCTATGCCAAATGTCGTTCCTAAGAGAATTACTGAGATCAGGAGGAGATTTTTTTACGGTAACAACCAAAGGCCAAATCAGTCTTTTAGTCTTATAGACATATATGAGCGTGTTTTAGGGCGGCCAGCTATCGAACCTCACAGGGCTGCGAATGACTGTGTAATGATAGCTCAGATTGCAATCGCTAGAACTAGAGAGTTTGTGGCATGGATTGACAACAACCATTGTCCCTTTTCAGAAGTTACTGCCATGTCTCCTGATGTGCAATTGGGTTATTAGGCTTTGACGAAGGTTTACTTCGTATATTTCTGTCATTTCAATAATAAGAAATTTGGTGTGGGGTTTTGTTATAATATTTTGTTTTATCTGTGTTGATATTGTTTTCATGTAGAGATATAATAGTAGCACCTATATGCATTATTAAAATAAGTTACTAATTCTTTTTCTATAAAACAGGCACATACCACAGACTATGACACCATCGGTTTTAAAAACAATATCATCATTTTATTATTACTTTTGTGTTATAATTTATGTTAATACTTTTTAAAATGATATAATACTTGATTATTTTTCGGACATAAATCCTGTCATAATCCTACATACACAATAGGACATAATCCTAAATTCACACGCTTTATATTAGCTTCACTTGTATGTTTGTATGTTTGTTTGTATCCGACCCTTTTGGGTGTGATTTTGACTGACTTTAAACGGTCAGAATTCGTTGAAACTTTATAGATATATCGAGGACCGATGACAATACACTAATTAAAAAAAAAAAAAAAAACATAGTTTAAAAAACAAAAAATAGAAAATGGGGTGCTTTTTACTATTGACAACAGGCACCCAAGGCTTTTTTCAAATTTATTAAAATTTATTTTCTATTTTTTAGTTTAGTTTTCTATAAAAAGCGTGTTTTTTAGTTTTTTAAACTTTTTTTTTATTAAAATACATTTAAGATTATACAATATATAATGGATTATGTACAAAATAAAAATATATTTTCATAATATATTTTTTCCTTTCCTAATTTTTCCGTCTTACTTTAATACTAATCTTTATTCGCGCAAAATATTTTTCCAAACATCACACGTCATCAGTACACTTAACAAAAAAAAAATACAAAATATCTCTGGTGGCTTATAAAAAATTCCAGGTGTAATTCTTTATTATTATTGATTATTTTTGTGTGTATAAATAAGTGTTACTTGGTATTAGATATAGTCTGCTTTCTGTCTTCACTATTATTATCACTAGGTACTCTATAAAACTATCTTCCTTCTTCTACCTACCTTCTTTTCCTGCCCGCTTACACGCTACTATAAGTGGTCGTACTCAACCTTGACCGCTTGGAAGAGAACACCGTGGTCACACAAGAGGGCCATCTGTAGACAGCCCAGGGTCCGTCGGGTACCAGGGATTGCCTTTCTAGGTTCCACCCGGCCCCGGTTTCTAGGTTTCCCCGACTTGCGGTGTTAGTCAATTCGAGTCCGACACAACCGGCTGTCCGGTGGGAGTTAACCGAGGGAATTTAAGCTCTGAAAGAAAAAAAAACACTACGAGTATTATTGTTGAAAGTAAGCGCAACAGTCAATGCTTGCTCAACAGCCCATCATACAGACAACGCTCCTTTAAAAAAAGTTAAAAACGGTTTAAGGCTATCCAGCTTCTAGATCAATGTTAAATTATATTATTGATCATATAAACTACATTAAAATACATAGTTTTCTTTTGAAAGTTGCAAACCCTACTTTATAGAACATAATTTAATGACTTTGCCTTCCATTTACATTTATGAGTGTGCCATGTTTGTAAGGCAAAAAAGCGCGTTTCGCCACCACCCCGGCCTGCATCTGCTAGGGTGACAGATGGCCTCACCTGCCACCCCGAGGCCTGCGCTTATGGAGGACGGAGGTCATTCTGCGACCTCCGGCGCCTGAGTCGTCTGCGCTACCTGGCCCGTTGCCGTGCTTGGCGCTCCGGGAGAGTTCTAAACCTCTCCCTGTCCCGAACCACCATCTCCTTGGCAAGCATAGCTTGCTCGCAGGAGACGGCACAGTTCCACGAACTCTCGCTTTCTCTCTCTCTCCGATGGCCGCCACGAGGCAACGCCTTTGCTCCACCCACGCTGGGCATTCTGCCAGCGTGAGGAGCTCTGTGTCCACGGGCCGGCCATCGCAGTGGTGGCACTCAGGCGTTGGCTCCTTGCCAATCAGACATAGGTGATCTCCGAAGCATCATTTCCCGGTGATCACCTGCGTCAACAGGTATGAGCCTCTCGAGCCAATGCTCCATAACGGTTCTTACCGCCGCGATAACGGCGTGCCCAGCGCTCGGTTGCCCAAGTCGTTCCTTCCACTCCTCTACGAGGACCTGGTGGAGTTTTGATTTCTGATCCTAGATTTCTCGAGATTCAGGACACCGACCTAACTCCCGCGCCTCCTTGCGCCACTGATACAGAGCCGCAAGGGCCCTCGCCTCCAGGTCCGATGGTGCAGTTCCGGCCGGAAGACTGGATACAGTGCGGTACCCCCTTATGATGGGTGACCCTGGCCTTCAGCTTTTTCTGCACTGCACCACAAATATATAATAAACTACCAAAACATTTAAGGAATATTGAAAGTACACAACTATTCAAAAGGCATCTTCAAATACTGCTTGTAGTTAAATGTTATTACTCGCTTCGAGAGTTCTTGGAATAAATTTGTAATTTTTAGGGTTCCGTACCTCAAAAGGTAAAAAAGGAACCCTTACAAGATCACTTGTTGTCCGTCTGTCGTGTGTCACCACCAATTTTCTCAAGAACGGGTAGACCTAGCAAGTTGAAATTTATACCAGATACTGAGGTCTATGGTGGTCCCTATTAAGTGTATAAAAATCAAGGTTCTGAGTCGACACGATAAAAAGATATGGGCAAATTTCGATTTTCGCGAAAACTTGTAAGTACCAAAATTTACCTTGCTTTTAACCAAAATTGTCAATTCAAGGTCAACCGGAAGTACCCTATAGGTTTTGGGTCGAAACCCTATATGGTAGTTCCCACGTAAAATCACGAAATTTGGCAAAAAGAAACGTCTTACAGCACAAATAAAGGATAATTCCAAACAAAAAAATGAAAATTAAGATAAATTTTGGTACGTACAAATTTTCGCGAAAATCTACGTAAAATCTGGATAGATACGGAACCCTCGGCGCACGAGTTCAACTCGTACCTGACCGGTTTTTATTGTTGGGCCCTAGCACAACAATAAAATGATTAGATTTGCTAACATGTTATCATTTTATTGTAGACTTGCAACGAATATTCGGTTACTATTCTGTATTCGGCCTATTCGGCTGCTTTTATTATATTCGGCCGAATACCGAATATCTACATATTATTCGGCCGAATACCGAATACTTAAATAATATATTTTGTTATTGAGAAATAATTGGTAAAATGAAAAATTAAAATCGATTGATTACGTATATATTCATATTTTCATTTCTGTTATAATCATTTAAGTAGTCATTGGTGCATAACACAGGTACATAATCATCTTCTGAATTGGAAAAAATGGAGGATTCTATGTATTTGAATTATTGTGGTAATCAAAATTTAGAAGGGTAAGGTTCTCATTTCTTTTATAATCATTTATTAAGTAGTCATTGGTACATAAAACAGGTACATAATTTAATTCACGTCTGTACAAGTTTTTGGCGCTAAAATCCAGCCGAATACTTTTGCCTAATATTCGGCTATTCGGTCAGGGGCCTCGCCGAATATTCGGTATTCGGTATACTGCCGAATATACTATTCGTTGCAAGTCTATTTTATTGTAATTGTATGTATTTGATTATTTTATATTTATCAGATTATTTTATAACGACATTTTATTGCACCGTAGCGATAGCTCGAACACGATCTAACGGTTGATCACCTCTTTTTTGCCATCTTCTTTTGACTATCTAACCTAAATAGGTACGAAGTGTACTTACCTACTGTCAAATATTAAACAGGGTTTATGCAAAACCAATAAATATTAATAATTAATACCCTGCTTGACAGGATCTATTTCTTCGTAACTAATCCTTGCATGATTAAGAATACAAATAGACTTTGGTACCATAATATGTCATACAATATAACTCAAGTATTTTATTATTTATAATATTATATTACGCCACCAATATACTTTTATGTAGCCTATTCTGCAATTCTACTAAGTGTGTTTGTCTCTCTGTTACCTCTTCACTGAAACCGCTAAACTGATTCAGATAAAATTTCAGATCACTTTTCTGAATATATCGAGGCAGTATTTCACTCCGGCCCACCGCCTTCAACTCCATACGGTGCAAGTCCGGCCGCATATGGAAAACTGTTCTCATCTCTATGCAGGCGCACCTCAGTACCAGCTTCTCCCTCTGGACCGCGTCTAACGAAGAGCGACTCGAATCTTCGTTGGTCCAAACATCTCTGATCGGCTCGATCCCTTGGCGTTACGTAGAGATGTGGCGTCACTCTGCATTCTCTATCGTTATATCATGGAGAATGCTCCGAGTAATTGTTCAGACTAATACCAGTTGCTACTTTCTGTCTTCGTTCCAAAAGGCAATATTTTCATCCCCTTCACCTGGATAGTTGGCGCTCCACTACGGTGTGCATTTCGATACACTTTTTGCCTCCCACACACAATCTGTGGAACGGGTTATCGTTTGCGGTATTTCCGGACCGATACGACCTTCAAGAAAAGAGCGTACTTCGTCCTAAAAGTCCGGCCGTGACTCCTGAGTTGCAGACGTTCATGGGCGGCGATGGTCGCTTTCCATCAGGTGACCCGTCTGCTCGTCTGCCCCGTCTAACATAGAAAAAATTATTATAATTCCCAGAAAAGAATTAAAAAAAAACTAAAAAAATAAAAAATAATAATATATAAATGATAAATAGGGTTTGTTTTAAATGCAATAAAAATAAGAACAAATAATTTTACAATTTTAGTATTTTTTTAGTTTTTATACCAGAAATTGTCCTTTAAGGGGGTGGAAGTTTGTATGGGGTATCAATAACCGCTGGCCTTATTTAGATGAAATTTGTTATGATGATAATTCGATTCTTGAGGAAAGACATATGCTACTCTTCTACCACCATTGAGAAGCTAGGATTACAGAGTATAGGTCAGATTTCACTCGGATTAAAGTATTCACATAAAAGCTACTTAATTCCCATGTCAAGAGGGAGCCCACGAAGTATACTTTACTGATTGTATTCCAGGTTTCCTGGTATTAACAGGATTATTTTGGGGCTGTACAAATCCATTTATCCGGCAAGGGACGAAAGGACTACGTGATGTCACTGCCACCACACGACTTGGCCAGGCGTGGGCGGAGATCACCTTCTTACTTGGAAACTGGAAGGTAGAACGATATGTCAATCATTCTTTTTTTTAAATAAAATAATAATTTTAATGTTTTCAAATAGACTGAAAATAATTTTAAATCTAGAATTATTTAAAATTATCATGGTTATGGCATGTTTTAAATAATCTAAGTATTTAGGACAATTACCTAGCCACACTAATATTTTATAATAAAACTAGCTGACCCGGCAAACATTGTTTTGCCATATACATTATTTCAAATTTTTTGTCAAAAAAAATAAAATTAGGTGTATGAAAAATAGATGTTGGCCGATTCTCAGACCTACCCGATATGCACACAAAATTTCACGAAAATCGGTCGAGCCGTTTCGGAAGAGTTCAACCACGCACACCGTGACACGAGAATTTTATATATTAGATATTTAAACCGTGTTGTGCAAAAACGATTTAATCCACAAACTGGTCGAATAAATTATGCCAATGTACTGTCCAAAATTATGTGTATTCATGGCTAATCTTGTTTGTCAACTGTCAAGTGACGACGATAAAGAACGATGCGCGATGGTCTGATCAGGTCTCAACACTGACAGAACTCCTAATAACTGCTGCGCTCAGAAAAACCGAAAAACACAGGCCACCAGATGAAGAAGACGAACAAGAAGATGTATAATGCAATAATCAATGATTCCAGTACGTGTTGCCGTGGCTGGTGAACCAGGCAGGTTCACTGGTGTACTTAGCAGCGGTCCGCCGCGCTCCGCTATCAGTGGCGGTGCCCACTGCTAACAGTCTAGCCTTCGCCTTCACTGCTATCACTGGTGCCACGGTTGGAGCTGAGGAACCGCTTGATAGATGTACGTTATTATTATTATTATTATATTTTTAGAAGATTAGTCAAATCATGAAGTACATTTTAGATTACTTAGCGAGGGTGGGAGACTGGGTTTTGGCGGCTATTTCTTACTACACAGTTAGAGATAAGAATTACTCAAATCTTACGTTTACATTTTGGCCGTGTTTTTATGACCTAAACTACTCCATCTATCGTCATGAAATTTGCCAGGGTACACAAAGGGTACCCAAGAGATAGACTAAGTGTCTATCTCTTGGGAAGACACTTAGTCCATCTAGTGTTCTCCAATCACAGGTCTCTTCGAATTCCTGCAGCCTCAGACCCTTTAGTCATCCTAAACTTACGGTATCCTTTGTGCTAACTCGTCCTATAGTTCTTTCTCACTCCAACTTACGTTCTTCTAAAGTGATATTGAAGGCTTAGAAGCAGAATCCTGATGTTCCCCTCATTGACGGCTTTTGACAAAATGCAGTGTCTAGCAAATGAATCGGCGATACGAAGACTAATCCGATAAACAATACCAATACCTATACCTAGCAAGGATAATTCGTTATAGTCGTATAATAGTGTCGGATCTGACATTTATTAAACTTTACAGGGCAGACATTTCAAATAATTATGTAATTAAAATAAAAAGAACTAAATCTGTAATTATGAAAATTGGTATATAAATGAAAAATAGGGTTTGTTTTAAAATGCAATAAAAATAACAACAAATAATTTTACAATTTTCTAGAAAAATCACATGCTTCATTTTACTTAGAGCGCCTATCAAACAAACACTGAATATTAGTAAGTAATAATATTTAGACAATGTAGTATCCAATTATGGTAAAAACTGAATTTCGTGTTATTTTTTGACGAATTGATGTCTATTAAAATAAGTGACGCATTTTTTTTCGGATAGCTTTATACCAGAATATTTAATTTCACATTTATAATATACACTTTATCTCTATAAGGTTTAACGATATTTGTCTTCTATGTGCCATTGTTTTCTCTTTAGGGTTCGTTTTCTCAAAAGGATAAACAGGTACTCATGCATAACGAATCACTTGGTTGGCCTTCTGTTTGTCAAGGTCTAATTAAATGAAGCAAGTTAAATTAACGAAAACTAGTTAAGAAATTGAACCTCTGAACGTCAGAGGAATCCGTATTTTTATTCAAATCTCTCTCCCTACTGTCTTCTCTCTCACTCACTCATTTTTTATGGATATTTTTAACTCGATTTCTGAATTTTTTTTTCAATTTTGTGAAACTTTTTCTTGAAACCTGTCTTGACAATTTCAAAAACAACAAAAAACAATTAGCGAATTAGTCGTTCTGTAAAAAAAAACTTTCTTTTTTTGCAGGGTCTGTTCTTGGGATAGTGCTTATAATGGGAGGAACTGCATTGTGCTGTTATGACAAGACTAGCTGAAGAACGTCATATAGGATATATAATGTCATAAATATATATAATTATGTAGCCAGTATCAAAAACTAGAAAAAAAATATAAAAGCCATAGACTAAATAATAAAGTTACGAATGTGGCATTGTTAATATTTCTGTTTTATACTGTTATTTAATATTTAAGTATTATAATAAATTATGTAATAGATATTAAATTGATACTTTATTTTTCCAGACCCTAAAAAATTGTTTTGAAAAATTTAACTCTTTATTTTTAAATTGTCATCATTTCTTGATTTTCAAATCGAAGATTGAAACAAGTTGATACGATATGATTAACGATACACGAACTTTACGGAGTGTATCGATTTTGTATAAGGGCAAACAAATACAGGCCATCTAAAAATAAGTGACTACGTCCGTGGACACCTACAACTCAAAGAGTCGCAAGTGCGTTACGGCTATTTGAGCCCTTTCTTATAGCTACATATTTATTTATAAAAGAAGCATAAAATTGACCAAACAAAATAATATAATATTATGCAATATTAAGAACAATCTATGCCACATCTAGTAGCACACATCTTTGTTTACGCGCCGCCCCGTACGTTGCTATCGGCCGGTGTACCTATAGATGTAAAATAACCGATTTAAAACGTTTTAAATAAAGTGTTGCCGTTTTAAACCCTAAATATCTACAAAAATCAAAGAACTGTATTTTACACTTCATTGTGGGCAATTTTTGATCACATGAGCCAAAAATTGCCCACAATGTTTCGTTTTAATTCATCATCATCATCAGCCTATCGCAGTCCACTGCTGGACATAGGCCTCACACGTTTAATTAGTTTATACAAAATCAATAGAAAGTACCTACCTACATTACCTACCTACTACACGAAAACTTAAGTATGAAGGTATACCTACCAATACTTATTTTTTATATTATATTACACACACTAGATTAAAACAAAAAAAAACATCATTAACACAGTGCCCTTTGTTTTACTGCGCATGAAAGAGACAACATTATGTCTTCAAGACCGTCGCGCGAGTGCGAGTGTGAGTTTGGTTTTAAACCGAACCAAATTGATTATTTATATAGTTTGAAAACAATAATAATAATAATATTCTACCACATTTACACAACGCCATCTAGACCCAAACTAAGCAGAGCTTGTACTATGGGTACTAGACAACTGATAAAAAATACATATATACTTTTTTTTTGTAAATACATACATATTATACATAGAAACACCCAGACCAAATCAAACATTAAATGTTCATGCACACAAATGTTTGACTTGAGCGGGAATCGAACCCGCGACCTTTAGAATAGCAGTCCGTTACACAAACCACTACGCCATTCGGTCGTCTAACAATGAACAAAATGTTTATTGACCAACACAGAGTTTTTAACTTATAAATAGTGTTTTTATAGCTAAGGTAGGTAACTAGGTAATACCAACGCTTGGTCGGACGGACCAACTAGAACTAAACCCGCCAAGTAAATCAATATCAGTATATCACACATATAAAAATCTTTACACAGTTTATAGGTACTCCGTCATATCCCTACCTCGGTAAAATCAAGAAAATGTAGTTATAATTAAGAAAAACATAGGCATCAATACCAACCGTTTTAAATCGTAAAAATTGTTTATTTCGGTTTTAAACGGTTTTTCGTTTTAAACGGATTGGTTTAATTGGTTTTAAACCGGCCTCACATCTATAGGTACCTATAATATGTATTTATATTTCTCCTTATAGGAGTGTCACTCCTCATGTGTGTGTTTCTAATGGTTTGTTGAATTACTTTGTATAAATGTAACTAATTATGGTTTTTGTGCGTTCTTTTTATTTATTTGGTTAACTAAACACATATATATGTAATATGGTAAAATCTAGAAAATAAGGTTCTGATATATATGCCACTTCGGGCTAACACATTACATTGATATATGGGTATTAACAAACTTAACTTAACACTTTCTTACTTTAGTGAGTTCAGTTAGATATCAGTTTTAATTTCGGTTCAAATTTCGGGGTTTGCCAAATGATTTTAGTATTTTTACACATACGGTTTTTGTGTCTTGTTATAAGTGAAGTTTTTTTCTCATGTAGGTACTTTTACTTTATTACTATTGTTGACTGCACGGATGGCGTAGTGGTTTAAGCGGTCGTCACGCCGCTTCCTACTACTACCTACGAGTGTTGTGGGTTCAAACCCCACACTTTGTGTGATCCACAAATTGTTGTTATGCAACTGGGTGTTCTTTGTGTCCATGTATGTTTTTAAAGTCCCCCGCGACACAGGATATATTCCTAATGCGAGAGCTGTCTTTTTAAAAAAAGAAAAAAAAAAGTTGTAAGTATAGCAATTCATTCCACGATTGTTGTTTCTTATGTTAGCGTTTCATAACCTTAATCATTTTAATTGGAAATAATAAGAAATAATTAAATTGAACCAGACTGTTTCCCTAAGGAAATAAGGGGAGAGTTATGAATTAAAAGAAAAAGTAGGTCACGTAATTAATGCATGGTGGTCCTTTGCGTAGTATTCATGAATTTTTTAAATATTTTTTTTTAGTTAGAAGTGGGTATAGAAAAAAATAGTCATCACCTGTTTTTATTATTTTATTACTTTCATTATTAATTTACATTTATCGCACCTAAAAATATATAAATATATATATAATGACATGTATTGCACTGGTTAACGTATATTACAATAATTTAAGAAATCAGGCACTCAGTTGCAAGCACAACTTAAATAAATAATAGACATAATAGACAGACAAATAATTATAATAAAGATCAGATACTTCAAAGAGAGACTTCTTCTGCAGTGCTATTCTCTAAAGAAACAGCAAACTTCAAACTAAGTTCGTTTGAAATTTGACGCTACAGCGCTGTCACAGCGTCGAATTCTAAGCTAAGTTTGTTTGAAGTTCGACGCTGTGGCAGCGCTGTAGCGTATCACTGGTCCATGACACGTACTTCCATAAAATAGTTTTACAAATTTCAACATTTTTTTAGGTCCAAATGCTACTTTAACAGAATAAATTTTGTACAGGAGTTGTATTTAAAAAAAAAAATGTTTTTCACCCTTTTTTTAAATTATTATATAAATTATAAAATTAAGGTACATTGACAAAATTGGAATAGAAAATCTATTAAGTTTATAATTTTGTAATGTGCTAATCCATCGTTGCTTTTAAATGGTTTTATCAAGAGTAATCCAAGATTAAAATGTTATGGGCTCTCTATTGTGCCATTTCTATAAAATTTAATTGTATATTATATTTTATTGAAATATATAGAGCAAAATAAAACGCTACTGTAAAAGAAGCTTCTGAATAGTTCATACAAAATATTTAACGCGCTTATAGCAAATACACTGCAAATATATAATATTCAGATGCAAGTACTGTGGAAGATAAAATACTTAGACCACTCTTTTATGAGGTAATGGTACTTTTATAATTTTGTACAAAGTGAATATATTATGATGGTAGAGACTGGCACATTAAACTTAAAATTGTTTTCTAACAAAGCGATAATGTTTAATGCATTCTTCAAAGCGCGCCATAATGCACCAGATACTACCAAATAATTCAGGTCTAACTGATAATTTAAAGATTAGAACGTTTCAACAAAGCTGTATTGATTAACAAAATATAGACAAAAAATCGGTCTGTAAGTCGGTTTACTGACGATAGTTGAACGTGACAACGTCATAAGAAAATACTGATGGAATGGTTCATACTTGACGAAAACATGTAAATGTATTATTGTATAGCAGCTGTCCACGCGGAGGCATTGCTCACTCAAGTAGGAGAGAGATAGATGTCGAATGCTGCCGAACGCGGAGGCCGATTGTGCCTCTTTGTCGCACTTCAAGCCTTAAATGGAACGCCTCAGAGCGAGGTAACGCCGCATGAGTCATGTTTTTTCGTGCGTGCAGCCGGCTCCATCGAATTATAAGACGTTGTCACGTCAAAAACTTCACTGAAACTGAATAAAATATCCAAATATCTATGTGAACAAAGAAACGTTTTGTGAAAGAAAGAATATTACTTAATAAACCGGTACCGGTTTTTGTTGTGTTTACTTTGATAAACACGTCTGCCGATATTTAATAATATAGATAGGTACAAATTAAAAAGATCGACCACAGACAACAGGTAAACAAAAACTGTCTCAAAATAAAATCATTAAAAACAAACCAAACACCCATAAATGGCCATAAAAAACAACAGCTTTTAAAAAAGAAAATACTTGTCAGTGGCCGAGTTTTCAATAATTTTCAATTGTGCCAATATTAAAAGCGTAATATCCATAGAGTAAACCTAATCAATCTTTAGAACGTACTATGTACGTCGTGATATCTATTTAATACTTATCAATAAAAAATCTTACAATAGTTACAGATTATACGAAAATACGTTAGATTTTATTCATTTATGGGGTTTGTAAGTATTCGGGTATGACCCGAATTCCGGTTTGTAAGATATTTATTACTTGGACAACAACTTTAAAATTGTAATGCGCGAACACGCGTATTATCCCTACGCATCTACTTTATTTTTTGGTATTTTATTATAAAAATCAATTTAAGTCCAATATTTACAATGATTGTTTTGTAATACTGATCACTTATTAATTTTTGCAAAAACGACTTAAGTTGTCAGTAAAAACACACAAACTCGGCTTTAAGATTGGATTATACCCTAATTACTTGTTTAAAGGTTTGCTTGTTTAAACAGATATTCTAGCATAGATACAACAAAAAAGGCGTTCTTATAATACCTACGTATATTAAATACGCACTTCTGAGTTAAAAATTTCATAAACTAAATATTCTTATGAATGAATGTCGCGCCATTATAAATAATCATAAATAACATACTGCCCCTAATCTAACTCATTAAGAAGTATAATAACATAAATATAATGATGTTTACGGGAATTATGGCGCTCACGATAAGTACGTATTCAATACATGCCTTTGAAATGTCTGACGTTTCAACCAGAAGGTCAATTCTCGTAATAAAAGTTCGGTCTCAATTCAGTTCCGAATGAACTGAATTGTGATCGAACTTTTCTGGCCATGGTCACAGTCAGCGATAATTCCCGTAAACATAATAAAATAAAAATGTGAGTAGGTATTATAACATTCTAGAATCAGAAAGAAGAAAATACTCTAAATACAATCTAAGTACAGAGACTACACATATTTCTTAAATATAGGTGACTAGTAATTTAAATTGACGAAACTTACAGGTTATATTTATAATTTTTGGTTCAATTTATTCAGTTAAAGCTGAATTTTGATTAGTTTATGAGAGACAATTGAAAGACATTTTTTATAAATATATAATGCGGATAACTTATACACGGTACAATTAAAAAAAATGTCGTTTCAATTGTAACTTGTATTTTATGGGTTCATAAGCAAAGGTACAAAGAGAGGCTTGTTATTTAATTTTAATTATATTTACATTTACCAACAAGTGCTTGTGCCCCGTACACCATTGCCTTAAACATTTCTAACCTCCTTTTGTGTTATCTTTATTTTGTATATATTGATGACACAATAATAGGATCCGTAGTGGGTGACGCCCGTTCACGCCAATAAAAAAGTTAGTCCTATTATGGGCGCGTAATCCTTGTTTTGTCATGACACTAGTCAACGAGTGTTTTGTACATCATACCGAAGACTAAATAACGTCATTTAAACAAAAAGCCTAAATGTTGCTGATTTATTGTGAAATGTAACGAAATAAAATTTGATAAGTTACCAGTGCCTGAAGAAATAGTTACTAAACATTAAAATATATAAGGTACGAAATGTAATTTGATTACGTTTTTTTTCGTAAGGAATTTACCAATAGATATCGAATACCTATTTCCTGAAATAGTGATTACTGGTCAAAATAATTAAGTAGTTTTTTTAGTTATTCAAAGAAAAAGCACGAGTGCACCCTGCAAGTAAAATATTATTTGCGTTGTGTATGTTATGTTTAATAGCAAAATAAACATAATTACTTTTAAACTGAAACAAAATTTATTCTTGGAGAATAATTATAGTGGTATATTGTATTTTCCAAAATATAATTAGGTTTTAAGTTACAATAATTCAAAATTTATAAAAAATCCATCCAAATATTTTATGGCCAAATTAACTCATTAACTCCTCGGCATACACTTTGCGTATGCCACGGTACGTGTGTCTTGGTGGACATCACAAGTTTTCAACACAACACACACACACACACGCGTCTCAATCAATTCCCCCCTCCACTAAGAAGCTATAGACACGTCTACAGTCTCTGCGCGTCATATGTGCTCGAGACAGGTATGACACCTTCATGGACATTACTCACTGACCTACATACACTACAATTTCAGTGGCCTTTAGCAAAAATCATGAAGGCCTGTATAATTCTTGACCTCGTCAATGGCAGCTCGGAGGCGCTGCAGCGACATCCGAAGGTTGTTTTCTTCCATAGCGAGGTTTTGTCGTTCGGCCAGTAGAGCGCGGGCCCGGTCAGAGTCACGTGATGCAGCTCGTGTGATGTGCGCGCCCTCTACACGCAGAGTTGTGTTGCGACGGTGCAATTCCGAAATCTCTCGGCGGCGCGCTGAAAATTGTATTTACACTGATCTTATTTATTGAGTCACCTGACGAAAACAATCATAACACGAGGAGTATCTGGGTTACCTAGCTTTTTCAGGTTGTTTTAACGCTTTGGTGAGTAGTAATGTGGAAACAAGTGAAGATTTGTACATACTTGATTCCAGGAAAACATGTTTCCTAAGACGAAATACTCTATAGCTAACTTGTGATAAATTGTCAAAAAATCATGATGTACAATCGAAAGTTAACATATGACCAGTTACAAAACTTTTTTAAATTGTTTTTATAGCGCACCTTAAAAGTACGAGCAGAAATGAAATGCAAACATCAAAATCATTTACTGTTAATGCCATGATTCTCGATGTACCTGATGACCGACTGGAGCGCCTCCACGGCGGCAAAACCAGCACCAGGAGCCTCCAGCCGGGATGACTAACGAACCATCGTGGCTCGACGAGCGGCCTCGCGCCACTCTCTCACTTCTTCGGGGTGGGGGAGGGGGGAGGTTTCGACCGCCGCTAACCACCCGGAATATGACCAAACCGAACGGTCACCCCCCGGGATATGACCACAGTATTATCGGCGTAATAATTTACACCCAGCCCGAGGAGAAAATCTGCTCGAAGGGCCATGTCATACCCTATATTCTACGGGAGGGGTCCAAGAACAGATCCCTGTGGAACACCACACGACTTGGGCCGACACCTTAGATTATCATCTCGGTCCTCGTACGCTCCTCTAGATAATCTGTCACCAGCCGCCTCAGGTACTCTGGCACCCCATGACAGTGCTTTCCTGTTGAAGCTGAATGACAGACTTGAATGCTTGGCGATGTCCAAAGACACCACTATCAGCACGCCGCCACAGCGAGATCATTCGCCCTAAATCGATGTACCTACTCCGAACTAAGTAAATGACACTATTTTTGTAAAATATACTCACCCGCCTCATAATCTCTATAACTTTGAACAACTTTGTCTATGCCCGGCCAAATGTTCTCCTCAACTTGGCAACACATGTCAACGGTTTTGCAAGAGTCTGGGATTATCTCCACGAACATCTCAGTGACACCCGCAGCAGAACTATGTGGTTCATCCATAGATGTCGCTTGCGTTGACATCCCGCTGCGGCACTCCTGAGTCGACTTCAGCGAAATAATTTTAGAAATACTTGGTATTTTCAACTTAGGGTAGTTCTGAAATGGTTGTTCAATTTTTAGATCTTGTAATTGGATGTTTTCACTATCGAAACCAGGGTTCAAATCTCTTTTGCCCTTATTTTGACCACTGACTAATTTGACACTTTGGTCCGCCATTTTGGATAGGCGATTTAATTCGGAGAAGTTCTTCTCTGCCAAAACGCTGATACTTTCTTCATTGGCTTGCTTCTCGCGAACTGTATCCAACATCTTTTTGATGAGATTGTTGTTTTCATTAACAGATTGTTTAATTTCTGTCATTATTTCTAATTGCCCTTTCGTTTGAAGGTAAATGGATGGCCAGGTGATATTACTGTGTGATACTTTATCGGCTGTGACATTTCTACGTTGCCTTTCTTTTAATATTACTTCCCAAGCTTTCTCGTACTCTGAAATAAACAAAATGGACATATTATTATATTCTATATACATATATGGTGATGAATTAAGAAAACAGAATGTCACCACCCCTATTCATCCCGTGGGTTATCGTAAGAGCCGACTAAGGAAGCAAGCTGTGCAGGACAACAGCACTGCAAATAGAAGGAAAACTTGAAACAAACCCTATGCCAACCCATCTAGCCAGCATAGTATAGTAGGCTAAAACCTCCTCTCTAAGAGAGGCCTATGTCCAGCAGTGGACTAGTAAAGGTTGATGACGATGATGATGACAGGAATTGCCATTTTTTTCTTTTTTAAAAGACAACTGCCGCCTTAGGAATATATCCTGTGTCGCGGGGGACTTGACACACATACATGAAACGGACACAAAGAACACTCAACACTCAGACTCAGAACAACAATTTTTGGATCACACAAAGTGTCGACCCATGTGTGATTTAAACCCACAACACTCGGCGTAGTAGGAAGCGGCGTGGCCACCGCCTATCCACTACGCCATCCGTGCAGTCGATAGTCGTTTTTATCTCACATTATTCTTTAAAAGTTCTATACAGCAGGTCAATTGTTGCTTTTTTGGCAATGTAAACCGTAATATTTCAATAAAAACATTTGTTTTTGCAGCAGCAGTCGTTGGACTGTGTTACACCAGGTATTGTATCTAGTCAGGTACCTAGCCCGATTGGAGGATCCTTCTTTTGTGTGAGAGGGACTTTACACCTGTTTCCCGCTTTGTTTATTTAATACATATTTAGTTAAAACATTTACTCAAGCTTAGGCACTTAGATATATGAGAAAGACCGCTATAATTAAAATATTTTCTCACCTTCTTTGTGTCTTTGTGTGGTCTGTGTTAGCTTCAAATGTGACAAGAACATAGTTTTCTTCCGAGCCATGGTTAGATTTTGTTCTCCTACTATGCAGGCATTGACCCGGATCGGTTCTGGTCGTTGATGGACAGTGTTTTCTTCTCGGGATACGTTCAATAGGGCATCAAGACGACCAACTGCTGCGTATGCTGAACGGACTTTGTCGTGTTGCAACATCCTTTCTTGAAGATCCAACTCTTTCTCTGTAAAATACGAATTTAAAATCTTGAGTCCTGAATCATCTATTCAGCATTTATTTTAATACTCTTAGTAAATCTTATAAAAAGTCATTTCTTCAATATAATTTGTTTAGTGTAAGTAAAATCGTAATTTTTTTATTGGCCTGTAGAAGCAAGTTTTTTCGTATTAATAGATATTGGAGAATTTTGTTATTATCAAATTTTGTTGAACATAACATACCTTTATAGTATTCAGGTGAAGCCAACTTAAAATTAGATAAGAAATCGCATTTTCTCTTCTCATTTTCAGCTATTGTTACCCTATCACCGTACTCTTCAATAATACTTTCATAAAGTTTAGATTCTAGTTCGTCACCGTCGTCCGAGTCACTGCAGCTGCTGGCCTCGGCCAGTTTTCCTTTTGCACTCGCAAATTCTTTATAAATTTCTCTATTCATTTTATCAGGAGTTATTATATTTGCGTTGCGGAGATCACTTTTCTCTGCTTTTTTCAACGACTGTGTTACAACTGAAGTACAATTAGTCTCAGTCTTTGCCTCCTTAGTTGCATTAGATTCACGATTCGAAAGATATTTTAGACGTCTTAGACGTCTTCGTTTTTCATAAATATCTAAAGAGCTAATTTCTTCTAATTTATTTATTTTAGGTTTTAGATTTGTAATGACAATTTTTGGTTGCAATTTTGAATCCATTTGGTAAGGGCACGCTATGTATAACTTATCGTTAGTCGTTGCTTGTTCAAACGGTTTCGTATACTCCTGCTTAGGAGCAATAAATTTCGGATAGTCTTTTGAACTTATATTCATAATTGTTAGTGGGTTTATTTTGTCGGCTTCGACAATAGATGATATCGGAACTTGATATACCATTTGAGGGTTCACGATGACCTTCTGATTTGTTTGAAAAACTAATTCTGGCTTAGTTATTACTATGTCAGGTTTTGAAATTATTATATCTGATTTTGATTTCGACATTTCTGATTTTATTAGGATATTTTCAGAAGTGCTTACCATTATATTATCCAATTTGGTAACCATCTCAAGTTTTGGAATGTCAGATTTTGTTTTGTTTTGTACAGTCTGTATTACGTTATTATTTGATTTAAGAACATGTATTTCTTTGTTTATGGCAGGTGTATTTCCTTTTAAGGTTTTATTTAATGTGCTTCCAATATTTAACTCAGCAGTTGCTAAAAAATTATTCGTTTCATTAATAATTTTGTTCTCGTTTTGTGCAAATCTTGCTTTATTGTTATCCGTAGTCTGATTAACCTTCGTGTTATTTTTGACGATCATCATGTTAGGAAATTGAACATTACTTAAGTATAAAAAATTAGGCTGCAATACCACATTCTTAGCCTCACTCGTTGTAACTTTTTCTGTCACCGTTTTTTTGTTCTTCAAATCCTGCTCTTGCAGCGTACCTTGCGATTTCTCCTTCACGACTATCTTGTTACCGTAAATTTGATTTTCTGTTATCAAATTTTCAAAGTCGTTCTCGTCACAATTTTCTTGATGTAACCTTTTTAGCGCGACTACCTTTGATGACGCACTTTCATTTATCACGTCTTCTTTGGTCTTTTTGTTTTGGTTTGACGGTCGTGAAGGAGCTTGCAAGTTTTTTGACTCAAAATTTGTTCGTTGTAACAACACTTGCGGGTTCTGCTGCTGTATCGTCAGCAACATTTTTGGGCTCTGAGTGTTGTTATTATTCTTATTCTGTACAAACAGTATTTGATTTTTCGCATCACTGCTATATGGTTCCCTGTCTGTTGTTTTAGTAAAGTTTGCTTGACTAGTTTCTATATTCATGGGATTAAATAATGGTTTTGTAGGCGCTGCACTATTTTTAGACTCTAAAGATGTCTCTGATTTTGGTACTTCAGGTATACGAAATTGGTTTTCTGTTTTATTTATAGCCTCTGCTGCATTAATCAAAGTACTTATGTTGCTGTTTGATACTGGTATAACAGGTTTCGGTGACTCTTTGGCTTCAGGCTCTTTTGTAGCGGATTTTATAACGATATTACTCTGTATCTCAACTCTCGGTGGATCTTTAGTAAATGTCTTTTTTGTTGAAGAATTTTGAAACAAACAGTCAGGTGGATTGCTCACACACTTCATATCAATCTTACTTATTGGTATACTCGTCTTCAAACTGAACCTTTCTGATTTCTTTTTAATTTCTTTACTCGGTGATGGTATGGTTACTGTTGCTCCTGATCCTTGAGCCAACGATGTGATGCTCATCTTTGACTCTGTAGGTTTAGCAACCTCAGGGGATTTTACAGTTGGTATAGTAGATATTATTTCAGGTGTAAAATGTTCCTCAAAGTCGGTTTGAGGTAGAGGTTGCTGTGACTCCTCATCATCGGTCACCATGAGCAGTGCATCTGTATCCATACTTTCTTCCTCTACAATAGGTTCTTTTGTAGATGGAGCAATAGGTGGCTCTGAAAAGGGTGGGAAATCAGGATTCTGGCGCTCCGGAGGAAGAGTCTGATTCTGTTGAACTAGACCAGGATGATATCCTGGCATTCCTGAATGATTGACGGGCTGGAACGCTGAGTATCCTGGTATAGAGTACAGATAACCACCATAATTTGGGTACCCGGACTCTACTTGTTTTGTGGTTGTTACGCTTGGATTAGGGATTGGAATCGAAGAGGGTGAAATTTTTGGGGAGTGCGGAATGGGTTTCGTGGGAAGAAACGTGGGTTTTTCAAATATGTGGGGCTCTTCTGCTTTAAAGGCCTCTGGCGGCTTCGGTGGTATAGGTTCGGGAGGTATTGGTCGTTCGTGATCTTGAGTTGCCACCGGTGTTGGCGGCTTCATGGTCAACACTGCAAAATTTAGAAAAAATATGTTAGTTTGTTGAATTGTTGGTAATAAAAAGATAACGTTGATTAAACATATTATGTTACAATAGATATTCAGTAAAACCTAAGCCTTTTGAAATATAAACTAATTCATTGATTGATTTACAATTAAAGATTAAATGTATCGACGATTCGCATAGTTATTTTAAACCAAGTTTAAGTTACCAAAATGTGTGGTCATATTTAAGTGATTAAACTCAAAAAGAATAATTTTGAATGTTTTTTCATCCTCAAACGCTTCTTACTATGGAAGTTGTATATTTGGAAACAACATATACATATATTATTACAGTATCCACATACCTATATTTAGGTCAGTTTCAATGTTTTCTTTTTAATTTAATTTCCATAAAATTGTTCTATTCCATCATCATCCTTGCCATTAGTTACCTAATAAAGCGTTGTTCCAAAATAGTCGTGATTTTATCTCATTTACGAGGTCTTTTTTACCATTTTAAATTATGACCTTAATAATCTGAACCACACTTTATAAACGAACAATAAAACCTCCTTATTTCGTAAGCACAAATACATTCAATGATAATAACTACAAATAAAATCAATATAACATAAGGATTAGGAGGATTATCATGCAAACTACACTGTGTCAAAAAATATGTCTATGAAAATATAGGAAAGCAAATCAATCCTATTCCACGGGTTAGTGGCCGTTGGTCTAGTGGTTAGTGACCCTGACTGCTAAGCCGCCGTTCGATCCCCATCCAGGACAAAGCCACCATACAGTGTCTGAGTATAATTTATCTATAATATGTATGTATTTAGAAATATATAAGTATGTTTATCAGCAGTCTGGTTACCATAGTACAGGCTCTGCCTAGTTTGGGACCAAACTGCCGTGTGTGAGATGTGTAAAAAAAAACATCTTACCATGTCAAAGCTTGTGTTTTGTTCCTTTTTTTCGATAAACACACATTTATTAAAAAAAGAAAAAATACATACATACGAGTCCTGATAATACTTTGATTGTTATCAAAGTATTATCAAGACTCGCAGACTAAAGATACAACTTTCGGTCACAATACGGTATAAGCACATTACAGTCAAGGTACTTTATTACGAGAACACCTTTTATATCATTTGTGAGACACACCCGCACCTCAGGTGTTCTCAGACCTCCTTGCTAATCGGTTCCCAATCAATTTCATTATACTAAAACAGTGTAATAATTCTAATTTATTTATTATAGATAAATTGAAGGTTATATTAAATCTTTTTTTATTAACACGCTTTTATTAGCTTGTGTGTTGTGTTGTATGTGTGTTTGTTATGTTGTGATTTTGATTCACTTCAAAACATCGAATGAAATGGAAACTTCGCACACTTATCAAGGACCGATGACAATACAATAATATCATAAATATGGTCGATTATCCTGATCAGGATCTTCAGGATTAACTGCTTTTTCCATACCTAAAAATACGGTAGTGTATTTTTCTATGTACTACGAGGCGTGTGCTAAAGCATATGTAACTTACTTGTTACTTTTATAATCTTAATAGGAAAATAAAATTATTAATGACTAAAAAACAAAAATAAGTAATAGTTTAAAAACTTAAAAAACACGCTTTTGTAACTAGTCGAACTAAAAAGTAAAAAAAAAATTTTCCATAAGATAAAACGCGTGGGGTGCTTTTCGAGATATTTTATAATATAATAAAACAGATCTCAATTATTAACTAACTTAAAACATTTTTACAAAAAATTGAGACCTAGCACCCCACGCATGTTTACGATTAAGTGATGTTTCTTTTGGAACTTATAGAAAAATATTTTCTTATTTTTAGTTCAGCTAGTTACAAAGGGGTGTTTTTAGGTCTTTTAAACTATAATTTATTTTATATCATATCATGTCATGTTTAATTATGATAAGAAGAATGTAGATATACGGTGTATAGTACCGGATCAGCAAGCTGAAGTGGCAGTGGGCTGGCTATATTAGCCGCAGAACCGATAACCGTTGGGGAAAACGAGTTCTTGAGTGGAGACCGCGTCTCGGCAAACGTAGTGTAGGACGCCGAAAGGCCAGGGTTTTTGCTAGGTTTTGGCCTACTGTACCACGCTGGCCAGACGGGTTGGTATAGGGTTTGTGTCAACTCCCTTAGTCGGCTCTTACGACACCCACGGGATGAATAGGGGTGGCGACACTCCGTATTCTTAATCCGTCACCACACGGACGTACAATTTACAAAGTAGTCTTAAAATTACCATATATCTCGTAGTCAAGGTGATTTAAAGTCAAAAAATAAATCAGCAACCAACAAAAACTTTATACACTTAGCAACGCCGGACAGTTACCGCGGACAATCCTAAAACATATCCCTACCTAGCTCTCTATTTTATTTCAGTCGTGTATTGTAAACGGCACCATTATACATCACCACTGGGGTGTCATTTAGAATTTTTTTTTGTTAACGACATCATCGTAATGAAATTCCAAGGCGTCCATTAATTTCATTAATGAGGGGTTTTCGGCGATTGTTTGATCCCTCCTTCCCATCTGGTGAGATGTTGTAAGATTTGATTCAACCCACTCCCCTATCCCCCAATCTTACGTGAGATTTAAAAAATGTGTTTTTAGTGTAAAGGCGGTTTAAAGATGTAAAGATGGACTACTGTGCAACTTTGCAACACTCGCAGGTTTTACTTTCCTTTAACCTAGTATTCTCGTAATTATACACTGTTTCTTGCGGATAACAAATTAAGTGATATTTGCCGAGATACTAGGAGACGGAGACCCGAGATACGAGACTCCCCCCCCAAGTAAGATTAGAAGTGATTCGGATCGAATCAGATCAAGTTTTATAAATTAATTTAGTTGTTTTTTGTTGTATTGGATACAATTTGTATGTTTTACGAATCCCTTTGAATTGTTTCATTCACGTTATACATCACTAGTCAGCAGTGTTGTCATAATTGTTCAGTTCAGTGTTGTCTTGTTGTTCAGTGGTTCAGTGGTGTCTTTTACGATACACGATCTCAGTCAACATATTCAGAGATTCCCATGGCTTCATTAACTTAGTTTTCCCCTAACGATATATGAAAACATGACCTGTCGTATTATTCCAAACATAAAACAACAGTTTTCTTATCTTGTTGCGTGTATTAAATGGAGGGTATCTAGTTCTGGAGCCAACGCCTGAGTGCCACCACTGCGATGGCCAGACCGTGGACACGGCTCTCCACACGCTGGCAGAGTGCCCGGCGTGGGTTGAGCAGAGGCGAGAACTCGTGGCGGTCATCGGAGTGGGAGTTCTCTCGCTCGATAGCCTGATTGCGGCTTTCGTGCGGAGCGAGAGTGCGTGGAACTCTGCCGTCTCCTTCTGCGAGCAAGCTATGCTCGCGAAGGAGACGGCGGAGCGGGACCGGGAGAGGTTTAGAACTCTCCCGGCCCGCCAGGCCCGGGAACGGGCTAGGTACCGCAGGCGACTCAGGCGCCGGAGGTCGCAGAACGACCTCCGTCCTCCATAAGCGCAGGCCGGGGGGTGACAGGTGAGGCCATCTGTCACCGTACCAGAAGCAGGCCGGGGTGGCGGCGAGCGCGTTGCGAATGTCACCTCCCTCGCCCATGTTCCCTTTGCTCCCTGGAAGCGAGCGCTTCCAGGGAGCAGAGGGAACATGGGGTTCCCACACGGGGGGGGGTCGTCTACTCGTCTGTAGATGGCCCGAGGTATGTCGGGGCAATAGGGACTTCCTTTCTAGGGTATACCTGGTTCCCCGGCTATTAGTACCCGAGACGGCGTGCGGTTTTAGTCGGTTCGAGTCCGACATGCCATCGATAGGTATTATCCGAGGGGATTTCCGCACGGAAAAAAAAGGGTATCTAGTTCTCGCACCTTCTTTTCATAATCATTTAAATTTAATTTAGTATTGACGAATGTTTTTACACGACTGACAACTTTTTATTACTCGAATAAAACCTCAGCGAAGAGAATACCTACTTACATATCTCGGACTCCATCTGTTGAAAAACTTCTGAACCACTCCAATGGCAAAATTATAAACGGCTTTACAGACTTTTCTTAGCGAAAATTATCATAAATTCATACAGTACTTTTTATACAGTCTTAGAGTCTTCAAGCCCTTATAACTGGATTGATTTAGATACTTAACATTGATGCCTTCAATGTAAAGCTGGGTTTTTTATACAGGGGCAAACCAGCAGACAGGTCATGTGATGGTAAGTGACTACCACCGCCCATTGACTGCTGCAACTCAAGAGTCACAACTGCGTTGCCTTTCAGACCCTAATCAGGGGGAGAATGTGGAGGGATTTTGGGCTCCGGTAACTTCACTCATTCTGCCCTTCTGACCTAGGACGACAAATATTGAGTGATGAGCATGGTCATTTGTTTTATGTCTGGATGTTATTTATAATATGTATGTATATAGAAATATATAAGTATGTTGCAGCAGTCTGCTTACCATAGTGTAGGCTAAGCCTAGTTTGGGATCAGACGGCCGTGTATGCCCACACATCACATTTTTGTGTGTCAAATTATTCATTTCACACACATTCATTATATTTTTTCTCTGGTAAGTCTAAATCAATATTGACTGCCTCGGTGGTGCAGTGGCAGCGTAAGCGACTGTTCTGCTAAGGTCTCAGGTTCGATTCCCGGGCCGGACCAAGTGTTTGTATGATCTACAAATATTTGTTTCTGAGGTGGGTGTTGTCTATGTAAATCAATATTGTATGTCTCGGTGGTGCAGTGGCAGCGTAAGCGACTGTTCTGCTAAGGTCTCAGGTTCGATTCCCGGGCCGGACCAAGTGTTTGTATGATCTGCAAATATTTGTTTCTGAGGTGGGTGTTGTCTATGTAAATCAATATTGTATGTCTCGGTGGTGCAGTGGCAGCGTAAGCGACTGTTCTGCTAAGGTCTCAGGTTCGATTCCCGGGCCGGACCAAGTGTTTGTATGATCTGCAAATATTTGTT